TGTACACATGAAGATGTTTTATTTCCTTTGACAATTCACCGAGTGTCTTGTACTAACCTGACAACACAGTCTGGGCTTCAGACTTCAGGGCTCGGTACACGACACTCGGGGAATTGTGAAATTTCTATTTCCTTGGACATTTCACTGAGTTTTGAGTTCCGGGTGCCGAATTCCGAGTTCCGAGCTCCGAGTGCTGAGTGCTGAGTGCCAAAGCTCAAAACTTGAAATCAGTGGAAAATGAAATCTTGCAACAATGTACACATGAAAATGTTTTATTTCCTTTGACAATTCACTGAGTGTCTTGTACTAACTCAGGGAATTGTGAAATTTCTATTTCCTTAGACATTTCACTGAGTTCTGAGTTCCAAGCGCCGAGTTCCGAGTTCCGAGTGCCGGATGCTGAGTGCTGAAGCTTGGAACTTGAAATCAGTGGAAAACAAAATCTCACGACAATGTACACATGAAAATGTTTCATTTCCTTTGACAATTCACCGAGTGTCTTGTACTAACCTGACAACACAGTCCGGGCTTCAGGCTTTGGGTTTCGGGGCTCGGTACATGACACTCGGGGAATTGTTTATGGAAATGAAACATGTTCATGTGTACATTGTTGCGAGATTTCATTTTCCACCGATTTCAAGTTTCAAGCTTCGGCACTCAGCCACTGGTCAGTAGTCAATATAGGCAAATGGTAATGAAAAATGAAAGTTGTTATTACGCTTAACTTCCTTACCAAAGGTTGTAGTCCGAGTCTAGGGGAGTGTATTGGTAGTCTTTTCTTGTCCATCAGTTATCATTTAACCGAGATATAAGCTAAAGAAATCTGAAACATCGGCAATAATGAAAAATGAAAGTTATTATTATGTTTAAGTTCCTGAACAAAAGTTGTAGTCCGAGCCAAGGTGAGTGTATTGGTAGTTTTTTCTTGTCAATTGGTTATCTCATTACTCGGTACTCGGTACAAGGGAATCAGTACTCGGTATTTGGTTCTGATACTCGATACCCGAGAATCAGTAGTCGGGTACTCGGTACTCGGTTCTGATACTTGGTACCCGAGAATCAGTGGTCAGGTACTCAGTACTTGGTTCTAATTCTCGGTACCTGTGAATCAATAGTTGGGTACTCCAGCCAATAGTCCCGAGTCCCGAGTACTGATACTTGGTATTCAGTAGTCAGGTTTGGAACTTGGGTCTTGGTTTGGTTATCATTTGACTGAGATATTGGTAGGCAATATTGGCACTCGGAGCTCGAATACTGACTATCAACTATCAAGTGTCGGGACTTGGTAATCGGTAGTTGAGACTTGGTGCTTAAATGGATATTGCATATATACATAAAAATACAAAATATGTTCCTATGTGTTCATTTCTAGGTGAATAGACTTTGAAATTATATCTCAATCATCTATTCAACAATAGAAACAATGTATCAGGAGCTCAGGACCATAGGGTAATCCTTTATTGTATAGTGTACCTCCCCCTCTTCTGGTGGTTCACCTGCTGGGGTTTTTTCCCTGTAGGACTGGACCTCAAGGACTGTAGGGAGTCTATTCCTGAGCATATTTGGAGTAGATATATCATATAACCAGCCTAGGACACACAGGATCCTTTTCCAGGAACAAAGCATAGACAATTGCACTTGTGACATTTTTTCACGATTTTCAGTATCTTGCCCTTGCATCCATGATCCAACCTTTTAATATATAATGAGCATAGCTTATATTCTTGCTTCTTATGACCAAGATCAGCTCACAATAGGCTGGAGTTTGTGAGCTAGTGTGTATACTTGCCATTTCGCCTGATAAGGGACCCATGCCTTCAAAACATTGAATCTTCATAATCAGAAACCTGGGGTACATTTCAAATATCTTAAGTATCATAGACATAAATTTACAGACAAATCAACCAAGAATTGAGTGCTGAGGAAGTGAAATGGGTAAGAAATTGAGTGTGGGAAACTTCAAAGACCCAAAGCATCGAAAATGGTTAGTTGAGCAGTGGTAGGACTTTAATGCTGGGTCAACTCATATTTTCACTATATCCCTTCTACCCACCCCCTACCCTCAGGGCAGTAGGCAGTATGGGTTCCTTGGGTAGTTTACGATCTATCCTACATATTTGTAATGATATTTTCGGCCTGAATCATATATAAATGTGACTTTGTATAAAAGATGTCTATTGTCACTCTCCACACATATGTCATTTTGCCTATCATTACATCAATCCTTCATGAATCTTTCTAAGCTTTTAAGCTATTATAATGGATGTATATGGGTGTTATTCCAGGTCTCTGATCACATCACAGGCTTGTTATGTTGGATATCTCGACACAATGTGCAAGTCTCGCTATTAATATTCATTCTTTTATCTTTAGACTCACTTACTGCACACATGTATTTCATTTGTCATTATTGATGTTTCGGATTTCTTTAGCTTATATCTCGGTCACATGGTAACCAATGGACAAGAAAAGACTACAAATAAACTCACCTAGACTCGGACTACAACCTTCATTAAGCTGACTACTGATTCCTGGGTACCGAGTATCAAAACCAAATACTGAGTACCAATTACCATGTACCGAGTACTGCGTAATGAGTAACAAGATAACCAATTGACAAGAAAAGACTATCACTACACTCACCTGGACTTGGACTACAACCTTCGGTAAGGAAGTTAAGCATAATAACAACTTTCATTTTTTCATTATTGCTGATGTTTTGCCGAATGACAAGGAAAGACTACCAAGACACTCACCTTGACGTGGACTACAATCGTCATTTTTCATTATCATTTGCCTATATTGACTACCGAGTCTCGAGTACCGACCACTGACCACCGATCACCGAGTACCGAGTACCGAGTGCTGACAAATACAATTCCCAAGTTATTTGAACCCTACACCAATGGATAATACATACAAATACAATTCGTGTCCATTTGAAGTACTGGGTTTCAGGTTTCGACACTCGACACTTGGTGATTTGTGCAATGAGTGAAAAATGGACATGTTGTGTACATGATTTTGGGTTTTGGGCTTTGGGTTTCAGCCCTCGGCACTCGGAACTCGATGATCTGTGTAATGTAAATGAACAATGAACATGTTGCACACCAGGTTTCGAGTTTTGGGTTTCGGCACTTGAAACTCAGTGATTTGTGCAACAAGTGAAAAATGGAAATGTTATATACATATTTTCGGGTCTCGGGCTTTGGGTTTCGGCACTTGGCACTTGGCACTTGGTTATTTGTGTGATATAAATAAAAAATCAACATGTTGCACACTGGGTTTCAAGTTTCACGCTTTGGCACTCGAAACTCGGTGATTTGTGCAGTGAGTGAAAAATGAACATGTTGTGTACATATTTTCGGGTCTCAGCCCTCAGCACTCGGAACTCGATGATTTGTGTGATATAAATGAAAAATCAACATGTTGCACACTGGGTTTTAAGTTTCACGCTTTGGCAGAACTTGAAGCTGTTGATTTAGATATCACCCGAAACCTGAACACCTGAATGTCAAATTTTCAGTGCTGAGTCCCGAAGCCCAGAACTCAGGATTTGACATTTGAGACGAATGAAATTTTTCAGACATGTTTGAATTAACCTACGTATATCTATAAACATTTCACTAACCCCCGAACCCCGAAAGATATTTTTATTGTCTTACATATTGAGTTCCGAGTTCCGGGACCCCCGAACCCCGAAACCCGGCAGTCCACAATTTTGGGGTTCGGGGGTTGGTAAAATGTGTATGGATATATGAAAGGTTGATTTAAAACCCCCAAACCCCAAACCGAGATTTACCAACCCCCAAACCCCGAAATTGTGGACTGTGTGCAGTGAGTGAAAAATGGACATGTTGTGCACATATTTTTGGGGTTTGGGGTTCGGGTTTCAGCCCTCGGAACTCGAAACTCAATGACTTGTGTAATATAAATGAAAAATGGACATGTTGCACACCCGGTTTTGAGTTTCGGGTTTCGGCACTTGAAACTCAGTGATTTGTGCAACAAGTGAAAAATGAAATGTTGCATACATATTTTCGGGTCTCGGGCTTCGGGTTTCGGCACTTGGCACTTGGCACTTGGTTATTTGTGTGATATAAATGAAAAATCAACATGTTGAACACTGGGTTTCAAGTTTCATGCTTTGGCACTTGGTTATTTGTGTGATATAAATGAAAAATCAACATGTTGAACACTGGGTTTCAAGTTTCATGCTTTGGCACTCGAAACTCGGTGATTTGTGCAGTGAGTGAAAAATGGACATGTTGCGCACATATTTTCGGGGTCTGGGGTTCGGATTTCGGCCCTCGGCCCTCAGAACTCGATGACTTGTGTAATATAATTGAACAATGGACATGATGCACACTGGGTTTCGAGTTTCGGGTTTCGGCACTCGAAACTCGGTGATATGTGCAATGAGTAGGAAATGGACATGTTCCATACATATTTTCGGGTTTCGGCACTCAACACTCGGAACTCGATGATCTGTGTAATGTAAATGAACAATCGACGTGTTGCACACCGGGTTTCGAGTTTTGGGTTTCGGCACTCGAAACTCGATGATTTGTGCAGTGAGTGAAAAATGGACATGTTGAACAATGGGTCTCGGGTTTGAGAAATAGCATAATAACAACTTTCATGTTTTCATTATCATTTGCCTATATTGACTACTGAGTCCGATAAGGGACCCCTTGGATGATCCATTGCTCAATGAAATACTACCTGATTGGAAGTGTGCTGGTTATCAGATATTCATTTGTCGACTCCCGGGTCCCTTCAACGACTGATTTCAACATCATCACCATCCCAACTAACTATGCATGTGACACAAGATTCTCGCTATTGCACGACCAGCAACAAAATGTGGAGTGGACTAATGCGCAAAGGGAATTGGCGGAAGAGGGAGATGATATGGAAGATATAGAGGACATTCGCCTCAAGGTATGTAATGTCTATAATCGCCCTTTTATTATTTGTTCAACTTCTACAGCTCCAATTCTAAGATACTCTTCAGGGATTCTTTGAACCTGTGGAATGCAGACGGAACACTCATGGCTTTCATATGCCCATCCATGCCTGACACCATGAGAAAAACCCTGTTCTCAAAACTCCAGGGCTGTTTCAATGGCGTCAACATCTTTAAGAACAAAATGGGTGACCCAGAGGAGGATAAGTCAGAATGTCCTTTCTCAACTGTGCTTTTTTCTTGGTGGAATCGCTATGGACTCACAGTAAGTTGTTATATACGGACACCTTGCATGTACTGACTTTTCCTTTAAATTGCAGGGTGTTGATGCGCCTGCAAATGTCCATCCACACTACTTGCAGGCTAACGGCCATGCCATCAATTTCACTCAGTGCCTGCCTTATCCTGACAAGGATATGTTCCAGCACGAACAGCTCTACTTAAACATTCAGACCACCTTTCAGAAAGAATTTGAATGGATTGAGGCCGTAGTATGTTACATGCTAAATTATTTGTCTCATATCATTCTGACTATTTCAAGCTTAGGAGAGCATTCCCAGAAGAACACCAAGTTCTAGTAGAACTGGTAAAACTACTCCCAGGCAAAGCAGACTCACCTGTGGTGCCTTTTCTATCTCTTGTTCTAAATGTTAACATCTCCACATTGGCTCACAGAGATGATAAAGACTTGACACTATGTTTGGTTCTACCTATTGGAGAATTTGTTGGAGGAGGTTTGGTGCTTGCTGAGCAGGGTCTGGTCATTGAAGCCATGAACGGTGACTTGTTGGCTTTCTGTTCCAGTGATACAACTCATTTCAATCTTAAATACTTAGGAGAGAAAGTGTCTCTAGTCTTTCATACTTACAGAGAGTTCTTGAAGTGGAAAGAGAGTCGGAATGGATGGGTTGATCATCCTTCCTTCCTTTAATGTTACACCAATAGATTACTACTTTGCCTTTTTGCCAAATGTATATAAATGTCTACTTTATGCTTACTGACTCAATTCTTACATAACCTATGAATGAGTTAATTTAAATGTTATGGGACGTAAATTTTGGTCCTTAACCTTTTAATATTCTATCATGGCGCCCAGAAAAGCAAAAGCAAAAAAGGCTCCAGCTAAAAAAGCCTTGGCAAAACCAACTTCCACTTCCAGTACTTTCACTGCCTCTCAGGCCAAGGAGCTGGAAAAGCTTCTGAAAGCGAAGAATGCTGCAGAATCAGCTCAAGAACAGGAGAAAAAAAAGGTAAGTTGATTTTCTAATGAAAACATACCACTAAATATGTTTTGATAGTCACCAGAAAGCATACAGCTGCTATGCTCCAGGAAGAGGAGATGGAAAGTGAGAAGGAACCTGATATTTCTGAAGACGATAATGTTTCTCCACCGCCTTCTGAGCCTCGTAATCACTCACACACCAGAACTAGTCCTCCATCCTTGATAGGTGGTCCCTCCAAAAAGCCCCACTTACAAACATTGTCCCGTCAAAAGGTCAATACTATTTCAGACTTACTTGCTCATAATGGCTTTTCCTTGGAGGAAGAAGGGGGCGGTGATGATACTAGGATGGTATAAGATGAGGATAGAAATGAGTGTCTACTGTCAGTGGTACCATCTAGAGATGAACAGGAGGAGCAGGACACAGAGGTGAATGTTTCTCTCAAAAAGAGAAAGAATACAGTTTTGGAAGATCAAGAGGTAAATCAAGTTATCAAGTATTCTATTGACTAATATCTAGTATAGGTAGAAGTGGGAGATGATGGCGACTCTAGGAATACTCCTACATCAGGCAGGACATCAAACTGGAAGGCCAAGGTCAACTTATCTGAGTTTTCTACACCTCATGTTCGCCACATCGCGCAGTTGGGAAACAGAGATATGAGACATCATGGAGTACTAGTTGAAGGTTTTCCTTCTACTATTTACAAAGAGGATAAATCTTGGGAAGTGCTAACTCTCGCAACATCGGCTCATAAGAATCTCCAGATTCGTCTTAAGGAGGTGGAAGATGATTTGGATATAAAGGATATGTTGGTTAATTATGTGAGTGATATATACGGAGTTATTTAGAAAACTGACACTAGATGAATAGGCATGGGCAAGGTCTGCGTTCTATGAGAGCAAAGCTCATGATCAAAGCTAGACAAAGAGCACCCACATGGTACGGTCTTACCAATCTTGAGCCTGGAGAGGAGATTGCTTCTGCTTGTCAATGGCTTTTGCAAGAAAACAGATTCTTATATGGAGGGGTCGATATCAAGGTGAGTAGTACATATTGTCTTTCGGCTTCTCTTGATGTTTTGAGCAGGAGAGAACTTATGATCGTACCAAACCTTGGCTAAATCTTGGTCTTGTGTATTTGATAGGAGATCAGTTCTGGACTATCAAGGGAGATGCAATGAAAATGGGTAGGGACAATAATAGATACATAGATTTTCCAGATCCTTTATTGGCTTTGAGCGCCAGTGCAGTAAGTGTTTGATTTAATCCTGGTTCCATCACTAACGCTCTTCAATTTATTTTTTAGATTCAATGCTCTCTAAAAGGCTTCTCCATCAATGGCAAACTCAAAGGCTCTGGTAGTGTGGTGGCTTTCACCGATGAGAATTTTCACTCTGAGTAAGATTCCGAGACCGCCAGGAACAAATATTGATGAATTTTTAGGTGGATGACCTACATCACTCTTCTAGGAGATTTCAAGATCAAGACACCCTCTTTCTATAAGCTTATGAAGATTGATATGTTAGAGGTGCTAGTGTAAGTGAAGATTCCTAAATATGCCCTTTTGGTTTAACATTTCTTTTCATCAGTAAGATGTCCTCTGAGGCTGCCAATATAATGAAGTATTCCACCTCAGTAATGTCTGTTGATATGGACGCTCTTAAAGAAGCCGCTAAGCAGAGGCTGGCTGAAAAGGAGGTTTATTAGATTACTACTAGTTATTTGTCCATCTGTCTCTCTCATATTGTGGTGTTTGCATGTTCTTTTTGTCAATATATGAATATTTTGCATCATTGATTGTTTTGCATCTATGAGTCAGAATGAATCATTATGACTGTTATAAGCTAGAATGGCGAGGTTGGAACAATAATTGAGACCCTGAAATTATGACTATAATGACTCAAAATAGCTAGATTATATGTAAGACGGAAAAGTAAGATCCATAATTGCTGTTAAGATTGGCACCTTGTCATTTTAGCCATAACTGTCATTCTAGGATATATAGCTATAATGGACCATTTTGGATCATAATACAGTACTTTCTTCCATAATTGCAGAGTACACATTTCCTGATGAAGGCTATCTCTAATTCTAGTGAATTAATGTATGATTGAGATAAAGAAGTCTGGTTAGTGACCTTTCTTGGCTTTAATTACTACCTGTATTCTTCTAGGTATACTCTCAAACAATTTCTAGCAATCCTATGCTTTAGCTGAGATATAAAGTGAATAAGGTATTAAAAATGATTGAGATTAATCTTTACTGTATAGCATTTAATTCTAAGTAAAATAGAATATGTATCAAATAAATTAAATAGTAAATAGAATGGTAGTATTGTGATGATAGCAATTTGTCATATCCCGCATTTTGGACCTACATCCAACAATATTCCCATGCCTCATCTGGACCTCCAGACCCTCTGTCCATGTCTCCAGACCTCCAGCCCTCTATCTGTCCAGATCCCTATACACCTAGTAACCTATACCAAACTGATTCAGTGCATGCACAACAAATACTTTCCCATGAGCCTGATACCTCAAAACATTATTATGAAATAATCTCTTTCTGTCCTGAAGTCAGACTAAGGCTGAGGCAATGCCAAGGTCTTCTGTACCTGATAGGTTTTAGCTATTGAAGTAGTGCTGCTGTTGTTTGGTTTGGTCCGGTTCAGAGTGCCCTGGACGAGAACCAAGAACCAGAGCATTGAGAATGGTTCTTAATAGTCTGGTTTAGTTTTTTTGTGGTTTGAACACAAAACAAACTATATATTTTTCAAGCACAAAAAAACATTGACAATTCATGTACATGACATTGAGTAGCCAATCTAACTACCTAGCAGCTGCATACCTCTCTACCTCTAATAGGCTGCCTTCATCAATTATAGTGCGGTGAATGTGGATGGCATAAGGAAATTGTGGCGCAGAGTTGATGTAATCCTCGCACTAGAGAAAGTGCACTTAGATGGAACAGCACTGCCTTAAATAGGCAGATAATCATATGCCATACGAGCTAGTATCGGATATTGCAGCAAGTGTAACTAATTAAGAATATAAGTGGGGAACTGATGAATTTAAGGGATGACTTACACCTCACCATGCCACAATATCATCTGTCTCCTCCAATCATGAAGTAAGGTATGAGGAGAGCTTTTGATGAGGGTCATGCATGTGATGTTCTGTGGCCTGACATTTCATGATAGCATCTCACATCCAGGAATCACTGTACCGAGTCGAAGCTTTTATCATTAACATGGCCATTGGCTCCTTGACAAGTAGTCCTTGTTACGACTAGGATAGGTCGAGCTCTCCCTAGGCGGATTGCCTAATCTGATAGTGGGCTCGCTACTGGAGAGACGGGTTCACAGCTTAGCGGAATGCTAAGGTATCCTCCGACAAGCTTGGTAAGCGCGGCGGCTCGTCAAGCTGTAGGGCTAGCGGAACTATACGACTAAAGGTAGTGTCGGCTTGCCTTTAGGTGCGACTAAGACTGAAGGACTGGGACGGTCTTTCAGAGGAAGTTCTGGGGAAAACCTAGTAGAATCAAGTACAGAAATACATGATCCTGTCTGCTCTATATACTATCGTCCGTGTGCACAGACCAATACTACGTTTGGTAGGTAAGTATGAGTGTATCCATACACGGGCATGTTATCAGATGCCATACAGGCGATTATCTATGCATGAGGCGTACCATGCCTCTTCTATTAGTCCTCAAGGCTAAACATGCCTTGTAGTCTAACTGCGCATGCTGCGGCATGCGGCTTCTCTTCTGACCATGAAGCAGAGCTTCTCCATGATCCGGGTCGAGGACCATCTAGGTCCGTCTAGATGTTGCCTAGGCTGATCTAGGTCACCTAACGGCATCCAGGCCGTTTCTAGGTGTCTCTACGTGTCTCCGTTGAGTCGGTATGTCTTCCAAGACGGTGCATATGGTGGGATAGGGGCTAAGGTCAGGATGACCTCCATACACGGGGTTCTCGGTTACATGTTATTGTAACAGTCCTGAGCCTGGAGGTGCTTCATAATACTTATTAAACCAAGCATCCATCTGAAGTTAGAGACTGGCAGGATACTTAAAGTTGAATAGTACTTACCACTGCTTGAAAACAAGCCCTCCTGCTCGCAACCTTCATTCCAGTCCATTGTTGTTCAATATATGCTAACTTGTAGTCGGAGTCAAGAACTAGCAAAATGAGACATAGACTCAAGAAAAAAAAATGATACTCACCTAGACAGATAAAGTAGATGTCTTAGTTGCTAGCTTTCTGGTAGTACTTCTCAACATTCTTGAGACCCTTCCTAATGGTATCCATGATAAGTGCATATTCTGAATTTGCTACCATCATACACCACATGTTAGCAAGACACTCTAGTGTAGGTATGGTCTGCTAGGCTGTTGGGTATGCGACCGAAGAGAATGATTGTTGTGCAGTCGCAGGCTCCTATAACAAACAATCAGTAAATTTAAAAAAATGAATATACAAATAACTATCTTAAGAACATTATGCACTAGCTGTATCTTTCTCCAGTTGGCTCGATCAAGCTTGAAGTCACTATAGGACTTGTTGCGCAAATTTGAGACTTCTGGACTCTCATCGGCAAGAAGAGTGAAGTGGTTGACAGCCTATGAAAGATGTTAGATACTAAACAGGTGATTGTATGTCTCACTTACCAGGCAAAGAGACAAGAAGTGCTCAAGGCACTTGAACAGGGACACCTAGTGTGTTCTTACTCATATCAAAATCTTGCGAACAATAATACCTTCTTTCTTGCATGATTTCTTGAAGAACACTTGGGCTTGCAGTGATTTGCAAATCTAATTTGTGTCAATAAGAACAATAAGAACTTAAAAACAAAACAAAAGCGACAGGCAATGTCAGCATCTTCACCGTAATCAATAGTGTGACAGATCTTGCATAGTAGTGTTGCTTGAGAGGTGGGTATGACTCCATTAACAAAGTGTTGCACAGCAAGATTCAAAATATGTTCTTGACAGTGAATGTGATGGGGACCTAGAAGCCAGTGGCTACCATCCTCGTCTATGGCCTTCACCACTTCACTCATAGTAGTGTCGTTATTTGAGGCATTGTCTGACATCATCCATCCAACCTATGCAAGCGAAGTCAATACACAGCTGAAGCAAGACTCCGGAAAACACACCTTATTGCGAATACCATATCTGTCTATCATCATCATGAGTATATTACTGATATTGTGGCTACTATCATTGCCTTCAATACAGATGAAATTGAGCTGCTTATTTTTGAGCTCCCACTATAGCAGCTTGTTGGGGAGGGGGGCTCCAAATGTAATGCCCAGTAACTGAAAAAAATGTTCACCGATGATTGATGTCCATGAATCAAATGTCATAGAAACTGTGCTGTCAATATGCTAATGAAATGTTTCAGGACTGGCCACAATATAAGTAGGTAAAAACTCACCACCAGACACTCCTTAATAGTTTTGACCACAGTCATTGCCCAAGACTTAATGGTATCTGTTAACTTGGTGCAATGTGCAATATCTTTGTTAGTCAGGAATAGACATGCATACTGCAATAAACATCGAAATGCTGGCTTATCAATTAATTGTATAGCCTGGCGCCATCTAAATAAATTGGGAATGAATACAAATATAAAAAATCATACCTCATCTTCCATCACAATGAGTTCCATGATGTATTCAAGTTGGCATTCTTTGATAAATGTGGGTGGTTTGCAAATAAGTTTGGTATTGAGAGTTGTTTGTGTGATGGCGAGAGTTTCTCCAGGTGGAATCATGCAAGAGTGCATTGTAATGCCTACAGCATCACAATGCTCCTTGTATACTTGAAAATGTGACTGTTTGTGGTGAATAATGTGTGTGTGCTGTCTTACTAGGATGTGCAAACAGTAAAATTCACCAATTTTCAATATGCTACCATGGTCAACAGTTCAGACAATACCAACTGTCAATAATGTGGTCATTCATGGGGAAAAGTGTGTTGAGTTTTCAAAGGAAGTACTCAGTGACTAAAAAAAAGGGAGAACAGAATCAGTAACTGGCTTGATGCAGTGCTATGATCCTAAAGAAAGTCAACAACGGGTATGATGTAGTGCTATGACTTCAATGAATACAGATGTATGTCTATGCAATGATTCTCAGAGCTATAACAATACTCCCTATCTTCACAAACCAATTGGAGATCAAACTAAGCCTCTAACACGGATTAGCCTGAACTAATACATGGCTTTGAAACCTACTCTCTGCTGCTCAGACACTACATGATGAGTTTGATGCAGGACAGAACAGAGTACACCCTCTTGATGTAGTCTTAAGTGGGCCAAGTTCTTAATATTAGTAACTAACTGCTAGTCTTATTTGTCTTCCCTTGCTAATGAAAATATGTATATTTTCCCCACAGAATTGATTTCTTATGTCTGAAAGAGAACTGGAATATATCTGCACTATATGACTGATAACCATGTACCAGCTAGTGTAAAATGTATGACTCAATGGTGGCCTCAAATATCCTTCTGTATGTCATGGGAAATAGTGTCAAAAAGTGGAATGAAATAAGTTAATATTTCACTCAATAATCTTTGAAGTGAGATTTCAAAAAGAGCCTTATGGTCACTTTTCTTATTTGTCACTCAGTCATTCACACTCAAACTTTAGAGGATACTTGAAAATGGGCTCTGAGATGGAGCTCTCTTTTATTAGAGGGGAAAATGGCCCCTTATATACTACTCTACTAGTGGCTGTGCTACTGATTACTAATCTACTACTAAAGTTTCAAAGAATGTCATAGAATGTTCCAGACTATTCCACCAAACTCCAGTGTTGTCTAATAGAATATTCTAGAATCTTTCAAATCAACATTAGTGGCTGTGCTCTGTGGCTATGCTAACCTGTGCTAGCAAGCTGTGTACACTGCCTCTGCACTGCCTGAATGCTGTACTTCAAAGCTGTGTTCAAACTTTGTTGAGATTCTTACAGTCTGATGTTAACTTGTTAAATACCATAGTGTTGGTCTTGTATATTTGTTATAATGAAGTCTCTGCATGCTTTGTCGTCGTGGGGCATGGGGGTATGGCAGGGAATGCTTACTAAGTGCGTGCCCCGAGGCACAATGGCTGTGAGAAAGACCCCGCAGTCCAGAAAAGGGAGGTACTGAGATTCTGTGCCGGCAGCAAGGATGAATTGGGCGTGTTTGGGTGGTCTTGCATCATGCGTGGCGTGTGTCGTCAAACTCATTGTGGTTTCTCGCTGTGTGGCTTCTCCATCTGTACAAACTGCAAATAAAACTCGTTCCCACCTCCGTCGTGATGTGTTAGGCTGCTCCTGACACCTTTATTTGCCCTTTTCTTTGGCTCTCAATGGAGAACATCTGCGAGCTGCCTGATGGCTTGACTGCAGCTTCGTTGAAGGTGGCCAGAGGCTCGGAGATTGCATTCTGGATTGCGTGCGCCAATGCTGCCGCAGGTAAGAGAGTGATGACGAAGAACAGCCACGTCGATGACCAGCGGCAGAGGCTCGTAAAGTATTATGGTTTCGAGCTCACAGATGGCACTGCCAGTGTGACCGGCCTCATTTCCATTGCCCTGAAGACACGAGAAGAAGATATCAAGGAACACCAGTTGAGCTGGCTTCGGGAGCTCGGGGACGAGTGGAGCAGGACTGCCGCTGAGGGAAAGGAGTTCACACTGTGTGACAGGTCTTCTGGTGAGTCTTTTGTTTTGCTTCCTATTTTCTCGAGTTCACATCAGCTCGCTCCCCACCTTTCTAGAACTATGCAGCACAGACCTTCTTCGGGAGGCTGTCAGCCTTATTGCCAAGCTTGCTGTGCATGCTACGCCATCCGCTGCCATATCCAGCGCTCTGCTCTACCTGGATGGCCAAATGCAGACCGAGAACAACAAAACTGTCTCTGCGCTCATTGGAGCACCCGTGGTGGGGACTCTGTCGCAATCTCACGTCTTTCCAGCTGGAGCAAGCTGCAGAGTGCGACCACTGCATTTGCAGGACCAGCAGCTCCTCTGCCTGTCCTGCCCCATGTCACCAGCGATGCGGCCGTTCTCGACAGCTGCCAGCTGGATATCGAGAGCATGCAGCGTGCCCAGGACCTCCGTGACGCCATCGAACAAGTCGAGAATGGAGCTGTTGGCTGCATCTGCAAACGTTACATCCCCAGAGATGACAGAGCTGCAAAGGCCATGTGGGGCCATCTGAAGGGCAAGGTCACCAAGCACGGGCGACTGTATGGCCTGCTTTCTGGCACTTTCCAAGCTGACAGGGACAGTTTCTTTCAATTTTTCACCGTCTCTGCTGCCATGAATGACAAGAAACGGTGATTGGGCAAGCAGAGCAAGCCCAAGCTGGTCACCTTGAGGTTGGTTGTCGAAGCCATCCCACACTGCCAAAGGGACTTGGCAGATGAGAGAACGAATGTCAGGTATATTGACCCAGTGAGTGGCCGGTTCTCCGAGCAGCTGTGGAGGGCAGTCTGGGGAGATCAAAATGACTGGCACGTCTGGAGGGAACTCGGAAAGGAGTGGTATGAGGGCAGGAAGGCACTCTGAGGGAATTTGGACGAAGATACTTGTTTATTAGGTGATTTTTGGTACATAATACACAGAGTTGAAGTTCAGATCAGCTAGGCCAAAATAAAATGAAAGGAACTGTGCTGAGTATGAGAAGGAAGGGGAATTAGGACTAGTTCAGGTATAAGTGATTGTATTAGAAAGAAAGATTACTGAATATGAGAAGGAATACGAGTGTACCAAGAAATAAAATGGAAGGAACTGTGCTGAATACGAGAAAAAATGAGTTAGAACTTTACCCTCTTTTTATCATTTTGGTCATATTCCACCATGTGCTTGTGGTTGTCATTGGGGGAGTAGAAGTACTGAAACATGGTCAATGCCTCGACCTGTGACCAGCCACCTCAAACAGCAACCATGCTCACATCAAAGCCATAGTTACGGATGTGGTGCTGACAGCCACCTCGTCGGAATGAGTGTGTACCATATAGTGCCTAGGATGAGTATGCAAGACCCTGAAAGTTACCTGTCAAGGTATGGCTGAGAATGCTGGTGGACTGTGACACATAGCATCAACTGCCAGTGTATGAACAAGATTTCTGTGATCCCAGGCTACTCATCACAGGCTGATCATGCAAGACATCTCCTAGCTTCCCAATGCGCAGCAAGAGGGGACCCTTCAATGGGCTGTGAGCTCCATATAGGCTTGCAAGGTGGACAAGGGCTTGCACAGGGCAGAGCCTTGCATCAGCATCATTTGCCCAAAGACGCCAAACATGCAGTACACCAGTCTGTGCTGACTTTTGAGTCTTCAGCCAAATCTCTATGTATGCTCCTACAAAACATTATTTGATTGGTGCTTTCAAGAAAAGAAGCAAAGTCAACACCCACGTTCACCTGGGATGATCTCGACACTTGTGAATTCAAGGGTCACTACCTCCTCAATCCGAAGGAGCATCAGCCATGCAAAAAGATAGGCTGTCTGAAAAAAGGCCACCATGAGGCAAGATAATCATAGGCAAAGTCACACATACATAGCGAACAACCCCCCATCTTCTCTCCTCTAGTGTGTGAGTACTATCTATGCAGTAATCATAGAGCCAGTGCATGTCTTCATGCAGGAGTGCACGTGCAGACTGTGAGACCTCACCAGACCGTGCCTTCATTTTTTCCAGTCCAATCATGAATTCAGACACAGCTCGAGCTCATGTTGGGAGGCCATGGCTGTTGAGAGGTAATTTGTGGATTGACAACCACAGAAAGATGTACAGGTACTTACCAGATGCCAGTATTTTTGTCACAGCGCTACTCAGTGACACTTTCATTTGGCCGACAGTGCCAGTACCAGTAACTCAGTGCTGCATGAGTGGAGATGGCAGTGGAGAACTTTGAAGACTTGTTAGATGCTGACAAACAAATTTGAAGGTACAGAAAACATACCCTTTTGCCCTTGTATCCCTTGTCTTTCTCACCACATTTGTGGGTAATGAAGGCACAGATGTCATAAGGTGTTTGGCATGTGACAGTGGTTGGGCCTCATTCGGTGTTTCACTGCTTGTGGAACACAATATAAGCCTTGATGATTCTGCCAGCACAGTAAGTTACAATCATGAGTGATGAGGTGCCACTCACCTGGCATGTCCATCTCGTGTCCGATCTGTGATACTGCTTCGTGCAATTCCAGCTGCATAATCTGCTAGCTCAGATACATCATTGTCTGGGAAATCTTTGAGACAGCTTGTCATCAGACTATCAAGGTGCTCATCACACCATACAGCCTCTTTAAGGTCCAGCCGGACTCGCTCATCAGCAATCTGCAGTGGGTCAGTTCAAAAAGGTTCAGCCAGTTATTCAGGAGATAGAAATTAATTGAATTTGCCTCACTCTCCACAACCTCACTGTTGTCGTTTTGCATCGTCTTCACTTGAGGCTTCCATTCCATTGTAATAACCTGTGAGCAAAAGAGAGTATCATGTGTGATTCAGTCATTGTCGTCAAAGGCAGTAGGACAGATGTTATTATATTATTTACATAGCAATAATAAATAATTTACAATTTGCTGCTGCTGGAGAAGTCCAGCAGTGAAAGAATTCAGTTTGTAATGAAAAAAGGTGGGACTGTCAAAGGAACAAAAACATACAGTAGAGAAAAACTTCAGCTATGAGGCTCGTAGTGTAGGCCGCTGGCTTGAGCACCCGGTGGACTGTAGGTCGTGCTAGTTGCATTTTTGCATGAGGATGGCATGTTCGAGTTCGAAAGAAGTACACACTGTGTAGATGTGTGCAAGACAACTCCAGTATCAAAGCTTGGGTGATAACGGGAAAGGGTAATAGTGTTGGTCAGCAACAGAGTCATGTTGCGAGGTACTATCTAGCATGCACTGGGACGACTATTGAAGTGGTAGGCAATCTGTCCCTCGCAGCGAGCAGAACATGTGGCAGAAAGTTGTTGTCGGTGGTGGTGGTTGGTAATGGAGCTGTGGGTCAGCCTGGGCACCATCTGTTGACAGGCCGGGTGCCTGCTGAGAGCTGTGGGATGTGATGTGATGTGAGTGACGAGGTGCACGAGTGAAGTGCAAATGAGAGAAACAGAAGGATAAGTCATGGGGCACGGTGTCTTGCCCTCAGTGTCTGTCATTAGTCCATGAGTAGTTGACACAAGGGGAAACATTGACGGCAGTCGGGGGGAACAACCAGAGACAACCTCTGGTGCCCTGCTTCAATGAAGCAAGCAAACTGGTGTCTAATCAAAGACACATGAAAACACTGATAAAAAAAACAGGTCAATATCAGCGTGTTTTCACACGCAATTGGTGGAGCTACAGACTCACCTGCTTGATACTGGCACTGGAGAACTTTTGTGAGCTGCCGCAACTCGCCAAGCGATTTTCGGAGGACGTGTCACTCACATGTTTGCCGTCAAATGCCACCATTTCCTTTTATATTTTTTGCTGTGCCCCAGCTCAATCTAAAGCTTGTCATTCCCAGTATGGTATGACAAGCTAAGTAGCTCAGAAGGCCTCACATCTCTATACTGCCAGTAATTGGCCCAATAAATGTTTTTATTTTCCCTTCAGACTTAGCCTTACTGCGTGACTTGAGACGAGCATGACAAACAATGCTCAAGACATACCCAAAACAGCAACAACGTCACCCAACGCTGTTTGTCATTGCCAGTAACATCCAAAACTTTCGTGCTCATCATTGTTGACAACGAGCTCAACAACTCCCTTGTTTCTCACTTGTTTCCTTTGCTTTTTCTTACCACTTTGTTTATTATATGCACCATCACCTGCCCTAGTATTCATACATTGCCAAAAAATGCAATCAACACGTCATTGTAATTCAACAACTGCCACCATGAGGTTGCCACCCCTTGGTTTTCCTCCCTCCTCCAACAATGACTCCAGCAAGACGTTGGAAAGGCGGTGTATCTCACACTCTCAACATCATTCAAGCCTCTTGAAGGAGCTACATACAATGAACTCTCACCCACAATGGTGTCCAACAAGAACGGTGACATGCACAAAACTTGTTTTGTACATGAACATGGCAAATATTTAGCTTGTAATACCCTTCATAATAGCCTATGATGCTATCTAGAATTTTCAGTGTAGTACCTATATTTTATTTGAGTAATTTCAGATTCAAAAATGAGTGCACTACTACTTAACATTCAGAATAATACTTATCTTTCTGAAAGATTGGTGTCAAACACAAAATTCTTCACTTAGTCAGCAATTTCTCACACTTCCTATAATTTTCTCACACATTTTCACATGTTCTGGAACATACTTTGTGACATATCCTGACATCATATTACATAATCAGTATGTTTTGGGTCACATCCTGAACATGTTCGCTTTTACACGAGCCTCTTATTTTTCACAATACTCAGAGGAAAGACTGAAAGACTTCATACCTCATTACATAATCGGACTCATGTGACTTGGTGACACATTAGGAAACCATGCAGAGACTTCCTTATGACAAATATGCAAGACCAACACTATGGTATTTAACAAGTTAACATTAGACTACAAGAATTTCAACAAAGTTTGAACACAGCTTTGGAGTACAGCATTCAGGCAGTGCAGAGGCAGTGTACACAGCTTGCTAGCACAGGTTAGCATAGCCACAGAGCACAGCCACTAAATGTTGATTTGAAAGCAATACTGGAATTTGGTAGAATAATCTGGAACATTCTATGGCATTCTTTGAAACTTTAGTAGTAGATTAGTAATCAGTAGCACAGCCACTAGTAGACTAGTATATAAGGGGCCCATTTTCCCTTTTAATAAAGAGAGCTCCCATCTCAGAGCCCATTTCCAAGTATCATCTAAGTTTGAAAGTGAGTGAGTGAGTGAGTGAGTGAGTGAAAGATAAGAAGAGTGACCATAAGGCTCTTTTTAGATTCTCACTTCAAAGATTACTGAGTGACCCACTGAGTGAAATATTAGCTTATTTCAATCCATTTTTGACACTGTTTCCCACGACATACAGAGGCATATTTGAGGCCACCATTGAGCCATACATTTTAGACTAGCTGGTACACGGTTATTAGTCATCTAGTGCAGATATATTCTAGTTCTCTTTTAGACACAGGAAATCGATTCTGTGGGGAGAATATACATATTTTCATTAGCAAAGGAAGGAAGACAAATAAGACTAACAGTCAGTCACTAATATTAAGAACTTGGCCCACTTAAGACTACATCAAGAGGGTGTATTCTGTTCTGTCCTGCATCAAACTCATCGTGTAGTGCCTGAGCAGCAGGGAGTAGGGTTTCGAAGCCACATATTAGTTCGGGCTGATCCATGTTAGAGGCTTAGTTTGATCTCCAATTGGTTTGTGAAGATAGGGAGTATTGTTATAGCTCTGAGAATCATCGCATAGACATACATCTGTATTCGTTGAAGTCATAGCACTGCATTGTGCCAGTTACTGATTCTGTTTCCCCTCCTTTTAGTCACTGAGTACTTCCTTTGAAAACTCAACACACTTTTTCCCACGAATGACCACATTATCAACTGTTGGTATTTGTCTGAACTGTTGACCGTGGTAGGATACTGAAATTGGTAAATTTCACTGTTTTCACATCCTAGTAAGACAACGGGTATGCGCGCAGCAATGATACCTTCAAGATATCACAGGTGTGCCTCTGTCTCTAATTTACAATACATATCTCAACTCTTCACACAGGTCTTGCCACTGAATCAGTGTCTAGTCTCAACAATATGCATTCTCAACAAGACTCAATGCAGACCGAAGCTGAAGATGGCACATGGGTGGATTGTGAGGAAGGAGATGTTGTACATGATGACGGGCAGTTAGATGGGTCAGAGGACAAAGTATTCGTGAATGCTGTCTGTGACTATATCAGTTCTCTGTGAGTCCTACTTTCATAGATTATTTTTAACACTAATGTTGCATAGATGGGCTCAACACCGATATCAAGACAAACAGACCTGGCGCAATCGCTTGGACAGCCTACATGCAAACTGGGCACCTCTCCTTGCTGAACTTACGGACACCTACCTTCAGTGGAAGGCATTATCTTCTAGTCACCAAGATGTTATCTCTGTTGATGTTGATTATTCCTTCACCATTCCGACAATCGACATTTTCACACTCAATCACGAAGCTACTATTCCTCACAGTGCAGATAGTATATCTGTCGTGGATTCTCTCTTACGCGCTGGCTACCTGTCCCCCACACCCATCACACCAACGATCGTGATCTCATTACGCACCCTCGAACACTATCGCCTCCTTCACAACCGAAAGTTTTCACTCAGTATTGAAGCATTTGCTAAGGTACTGTGCGACTCCTACAGTGTGAGTTACTAATCTACTATTTGCTCACTATACTATTCACTAACTTATGTACTTCATTAGTTGCCCTTCTGCCGAAGGTACCGCATCCTTCTTTCAGATGCCTTCGATGTGTATCTATCTCTCCTCAGGAATGTTGAGAAGTGTGTGTTAGCAGCCCTAGGATGTGACACACCCAACTGGCAGGTCTTAAATGCCTGTCCCCCCTGCACTTATGAAGTAGTTGATGAACCGCCTCTTCATTTCGGCCGATTCTATGTACTTGATGGGGGAAATTCTGCGAAGCGCATGGCATCAGTAGGATCTCGTGACATTGCTGATACACGGCATTTTGTCGAGTCCGACTATCTCCTTCCACGGGATTTCATTGATACATTCACACGCGATGTACATCGCCAAGATGCTGTCACAACTGCAGAGGCTGACATCAATGACATGACTGACAACCCACCCGAACCAGAGAATCCAATTGCTGCCAACTGCACCAAGAACTGGAAAGCAACAGTGGGTGACGAGAAAAAACATATGTGGGGCATCTTTGAGGAGGCTGGGATCTTTGTCGCCATATGTCGTCATGGCTTTTTGTTGTGGTATGCGGACATGGTATGAAGTGACAAGCTAGCCAAGTACCCACTTGCGATGATCTCAAAGGTCATTCAGCTATTCGGTGCACGGTCTCTTGGTGCATATGATATTATTCGTACTGTTTGCTCGCTTCATGGTACTTCAGGGCCTTAATTTTGCTGCTCGTGTGCTTATTTTTCGCTTCTTTGGGGACTTTAGAGCCTTGTTTTTGCTGTTCAGCTGTTCATTTTTCACTCGCAGTTCATACACACTACTACTTGCTTTCGCTATGGCTAATACTCTGTCTCCTTCTGACCTTAAACACTATGCTAAAGAAATGCAAAAGTTGTCAACACAAAGGGTTCGGAAACCTTGGTGTCGTAGTTTTCGCCCTCGCATTAAATGTACTGCAGCAGAAAAATCAGCTGCCAAAAAGCGATGCAAGGAATTTCGTACACAGTATTCAGCCGCACTTACTACAGCATGAGACATGATCTAGGAACAAGCTGTACAGTTGTGTGAAAAATTTGGCCATCACTCGGTTGACTACTATTATGAAGCGATTATGCAACACTCGCGCAAAGCAGTTACAAAACGTCCAGCAACTCGCTAGAATGCATTTGTGCGACACAAAGTGAAGCATGCTAATGATGGCGAGTCAGTTTGCAGCTTGCTATTTATATTTATGCGAAGTCAAGTCATCTAACCTACTCTTAGCACTTCCACCTGGTACTGAGCGTCAGAAGGCCCCTGCAATGATGAGAGGATTATCAGAACGTTGGAAGGAGATGTCAAAGGATGAATGTGAAGCCATAACTGAAGATGCCGTTGGAGACCTCAATGAGCATCAAGAAATGAGGGAGTTATCTCGGCGAAACATGGCAGTAAGCTCTTTTCAAGATGCTAAACACACATTAGCTTCAATTGATCATGAGGTATGTATATGAACTTCAAATCTTTGCACAACTGCACATCTGACTCTTGCTTGAAAATTTTAGCTGGCTGCTTTAAATGCATGGACCGGCATGGAAATAATCGTACTTGCTGTGCGCTCGGATGTTGATCACTTTAACCAACCTCACATATTTCATACCGAACATGCTCGCGACTTCTTCACCGCATGTTTGAAATCTTCAGTCCATGATGTTGCCTTTAGACTGGAGGGTTTTGTATCACAGGCGTGCAAGGTCAGCTTAATATTATTCTGCATTGTTCAAGACTAATCTTCAGTATTCTAGGTCTAGCCAAAACACACATTGAGGAGGTCATGGCGTTAAAGAAGGAGATAAGCGAGTTAGTCTTGCAAAAACTTCGTAAGTTTCTCATTATTTAACCTGTATTGTGGTAAACTAAGAGCCAGTTAGGATACTCCCTGTAGCCAACATTTGATTGTAAATGTTGACACCAATTCATCGGCATGTGAACCTGAGATATCGGAGCTTGAACCTTGCCTCCCTCATACTTGTACATATTATCAATGGATTATACTACTCATCTATCCCTAGAGCGGCGGCAGAGGCTTTTCGCTGGTGCTCTCGCGATTACAGCCACCTGTGCCCAATACACCACACTCCTTATGGCCCAACCAGAAGTCCATCAAGCTAGGGTCCCACATGCTCAGTGGAACGATGGCAAGATCGCCGCCCTTATCAATTACTTATATGATCACCGCTCGGATGCTGAAGGAGGAGGGAATTTCAAGACTAAGGTTCTTGCAGATGCTGCAGACCACATCAACAGTGATGAAGATCTGGCAACCACTTGGATGGGTCCACCAAAGACAGCAAAGTCAGTGCGCAACAAATGGACATTGGTATGTCACATATGATATCTGTTTTTACCCAATCATAAGCTGATGACCGATCCTTAGCTCAAAAGCACTTACCATGCTATCGAGAAGTATCGCAACCAGACAGGAGTCCATTGGGGCAATGAGAATGGAGGTGGGATTGCAGGACCAGCAGCAACAGCTGTGTGGGAATCATACATCCAGGTATTTGCGCCCTCATAATTCTAATGTATACACGAGCTCATATATTACTAGAAAAATCCTTTGATTTGGCCATTCCGCACCAAGGGATGGGAGCATTATGAAAAAATGCAAGCCATTATTCCATTGGGTGGTGCCAGGGGCCGGCATGCTTTTCGCCCAGGTGGCGTTGCTACTCCCATCGCCAATCCTGACACTGAGCCTGGAGGGACATCCGATGCGGCTGTCCCAGCTGGTGCTGTAGCTGGCCCATCAGGCAGCACCACCACTGATCCTCATCCTACCGCTATCGCCTCTGGCTCTGGCTCTACCTCCACCACCACCACCACCACCACCACCTCTACTACGGCTACCTCTGCTGCTGCTACCTCTGCTGCTGCTGCCTCTAGCGCTGCTACCTCTAATGCTGGAAAACGCCCACATACTGAAGCTGACATGGAGATCATGTCGTTTGGGTCTAGTCATATCTCCATGCAGCCTCCCTCTACCACCTTGGTAGTATCCGCCCCCCATCCAAGAAGGCGCGTACACCAGCACAGTCTCAGAACAGCCGTCACATGAAGATCAGCAGCATTGCAAGGGCTGCAAAGATTACACCGGCTGCTGCTGTGGTGGGGATGCAAGGCAGCATCAACCGGATGACTGATTCCTTCGAAGCGTTCATGAGAGGAGCAGTTGATGATGACAATGTCACCCACGCCGTCAGACTCTTAGAGGGTGAATGCCGATATCCCACTGGAGCAGCAGGCTTTGCTGGTCAGTGTCCTTGGTGCGAAGGGCAATGATCATTTTCTTAAGTTTTACGTTACCATGAAGAATAGCGTCAGGAGATGTGCGTTTGTAGAGAAGATGATTGGTCAGCGAGTTGGTGAAGAGGCGCATGATGCTGATGCTGATCTTGATCTTGATGAATGAACTCAACAATCGTTTACTGCACTTTTCCAAATCGTTTACCGCATTTTTCAATACCATGTATCACCGTTGTATACTTATACTATCAAAAATGTTGATTCGATGTTTCATTTACTTGTAAACTAAGTTCAGAACATGGCCTTGTCATACAGGCCCCATCTCCTCATCATCAGCAGTGCTACCCTCGAGCTCGTCCTCCTCATCATCTACAGGATCAAGTCCTTCTAAGCCATGTTCCAATACGACACATTGATATTGAGCCCACATCGCCTCAGCGATGCGATCACGCATTTCGGTGCCTCGACGAAAGTCACCCTTGTTGTCTTCTTTGATAGCAACAGCCTCCTCGTCAGCAGCTACGTCAAGGTCAGGGTCCTCCTCCAAAACTCTGTCTCCATCTCCATCATCGACAGGGGGAGTACCCTCGCTAGGGTCATGCACACGAATGTAGTTGTGGATTGCGCAAAGAGCGGCTGGTATTTGGGCCTGGACCTCCATAGCGTAGCCAGGCGAAAGAAGAAGTATGCGGAAGCGTTGTTTGAGGACACCGAAGATGCGCTCGATGACATTCCGTGCTGATGTGTGTCGCAAATTGAATAGTTCTTCCTTGGTTTCTGGCCTGTAAAACTTAGAACAATGTTTGCAAAATAATTGAGAGCTTACCTTATGTTTGCGCGACCCCATTCAGCAAGGTAATAACGCACGTTTCGGTAAGGCATGAGTAGCCCAGGGCGCAGAGGATACCCCGCATCTGCAAGGAAATATTTCCCTGGGGGAGTCTTAAAGTCATGAGCACAGGCATCCTCATAGACGCGTGCATCTGTTGCTGAGCCTTCCCATCCTGTGAGCACGTACGTGAAGCTAAGATTGAAATCGCACGCAAAGAGACAGTTTTGCGAGACAAACCCCTTCCAATTACGATAAACGGGACGTTCAACGGCCTTGGGCGTGACGTGGATGTGGCTCCCATCAAGTGCCCCAATAGCGTCCTTGAAAAACGGCCACCATTTCGGATTCTTGCGGATTTTGGGGGGAATTGAATTGTCCAGAAAACGTATGTATTTTGAATAGAATGGGTCGGTTGTGAAGATGACAAGCATCTTGCGGAAATAACTATGTACTATTAGATATTACCTCCCCCCCAAAAAAAACACTCACCGTGAAATCGTTTCATTTGAGCATTGGAACCTCTCTGCAAGATGCCTGATTGACAGGCCGGTGACGGAGGCATACAGAAATATTGCCAGCTGTTCCTCGAGCGAGACATACTTAGAGTCCGAATGACCCATGCTCCGAAGCTCGTTGATAAGCTCAGAAAAGGCACTGGCATGCATGCCGAGCTCGCACCTGATGCGTTCAGGGTGACCGGTGAGGAGCTTGATGACCCAGTCCTGTCCAGACAGTGCCGATGTGTGATAAGGCTCTGGATCTCTTGGATATAAGGTCTGCACTGCGCTATGCGCTGCAGTAACAAGAATACTAAATATTAATGCTGAAAATTTCAAGAGTCGCTCCTGGACCTCTGGTCAAGGATTCGTTAGGAGTGTAGCTAGGTGCTGTGGATCCATTGGCTGAAGCTCATCCATGCCTACTAGTCACTACGATAAGCGGGAGCTGCAAGATTTAAGCTCCGATATCTCGGATTCACGATGCCGATGAATTTGGTGTCAACATTGACAATCAAATGTTGGCTGCAGGGAGTATCCGAACTGGCTCTAATACTCAAGTCAGAGACTGCAGCTGCGCCACAGAAGGTTTCACGAATGTACTATCAAAACTTTGACACCAACATTACTGCACGGTACCATGTCATTATCGAAAATTGGCCGCTAGTGAAATTCTGCGCCCCCAGTGATATTAGCTCGCGCAATGAGCTGTCCGTCCTGAAGTGTGCTTGGGAATCCAATGCTACTCAATTCCGCCGCCTCACTGACACTGAATTTGAACTTTGGGAGGAGGATTGGTTCCAGGCAGCATTAGCACTACAGAACGAAACCCCTGTGGAGGACACTCAACCAAGCGAGGTAAGTTTTAACACTTGTTCCAACTCTTTTTGAAATACAATTCCTGATATGTAGAGCTCTCCCAAGCCCCCTCTCAACTTGTCATTGGTCACAACAAACACTACATACCCTGACAACACTATCCCACAGCCAGATACCAACACTTGTCCTTCCGATGCCAACATTCATTCTTCTGATGCCAACACCCGTCCTTCTGATGTCAGCACTCATTCTTTTGGTGCCTCTCAACCTCATAGATGCAAACACAAGGCTCCATCCACAGAGGTCCTAAACACTGTGTTCTCTGGCAGTGGTGACAGTATCCCTATCCAGAAAAAGGTTCGGAAAGAGAGATCTGACAAAGGGAAGGCACGTGGACCACGAAAGAAGGCTACCACCAAAGCCATGCAAGAATCTGCGGCTGTTGTCAATAACTCAAGCACTCCTGACATCAATTCTCCTCCTAGCACTGCAGCTCATGTCATGGGCACTGCATCTGCAGAATGATTTTCATCCCAGAAACCGTCATATTTTGTCTTGCGCTAATACATCATCTCAAAATTTCTCGCTCCCTGATACTGGACCATTTTTTCATGGTATGTTAATTACTATATATGAAATGACATGTGCAATGCGTAATATCAACTATATAAATGTGTAATAAACAAAGTGGTAAGAAAAAGCAAAGGAAACAAGTGAGAAACAAGGGGGTTGTTGAGCTTGTCATTGACAACGATGAGCACGAAAGTTTTGGATGTTACCGGCAATGACAAACAGCATTGGGTGACATTGTTGCCGTTTTGGGTATGTCTTGAGCATTGTTTGTCATGCTCAACTCAAGTCACACGGTAAGGCCAAGTCTGAAGGGAAAATAAAAACATTTATTGGGCCAATTACTGGCAGTATAGAGATGTGAGGCCTTCTGAGCTACTTAGCTTGCCATACCATACTGGGAATGACAAGCTAATTAGGTCCGCATTATGTGATGTCGAGGTGATCTAAACATTGCTTTCCTGATGTGCCACTAAGTCACATGATTATGTAATGAGGTATGAAGTATTTCAGTCTTTCCTCTGAGTATTGTAAAAAATGAGAGACTCATGTAGTAAAATGAAAGGCTCATGTAAGCGAACATGTTCAAGATGTGACACAAAACATACCGATCATTCCCAACTTCCTAAGGAGGGTTCTGTGGCAAACATATGCCTAATTCTCTACCAAATCGACTGTGGGAAACTCTTATGTCAGCAGTTAGATACCGTATGCATTGCAGCGACTCTCAGCTTTACCTGCTTTTTTCACGTGAATGCCGATCCTAGGGCTCACTTGTCTCACTTTCCCTCTCCATCATTGCCATCTCTTTCTTTGACCAGCTCCTTGGTGTGTGTTTTCTTCTTTCCATGTTCCATGCTCACATTTTCTATAACAGTATGTTCTTGGTGAAGGCTCCTTCATGTGTTCCTCGTGTGTTAGACAAGGCTCGTTGCCCACCATCCACTGCACACAATATATGTGATTATCCTGATTATTATGATGTGCTTTACTATCCTCACTATCATCCTGTGATATTTGCCTCTGCTGAGTCATTTTGTGCATGGCTGTTGAAGTATCTCGTGTCTCATCATCACTCTTGCTTCTCATGCCTCCTAATGTTCACTGGTTGCATCTCATATGATGGCATTGCTGTTGTGATCACCCAGGGTGACGTGTTGGTCTCACTTTCCTTGTCAGTTTTCAAGAGCTCGTTTTATCAGCACTGTCAAGTAATATGTATGCTGTCTGTTGCTTCCCCCTCATCCTATGATGTCTCAGATATCTTTCAACATCTTCCCCCTTGGTTTATGGCTACTCCACAAGCAGTGGAGAGTAAATTGAACTCTCTATTTGTTCCTGCTATGTCTTGTGCCGTCTCTTCTATCCCTGGGCTCTCTGTTCCTCGTCGTACTAAGTCGCACTTTGTTCATGTCATTGCCGCACACTTTGTACAGTTGCAAGATGCCCTTCTGGCCAAACTGTTGGCTGCTGTGGTTGATGAACTCACGTCCATTGAACTTCCTGATGCTTGTCATCATCTATTGCTCCCGCTATTGTGTGCCCGGTTGGATGCCATCTATGGCTCTGAAGTGGCTGTCATCCTTCGTTGTCCTCCCCCTCCAACGTATTTCTATCATTCTGTTACCCATGATCTGTTGCCTTGGACATTATTACCTACTGAAGAATTGGTCAACTGCTTACGTCGTATCTCGATTGATGATTTATCCAACTCCATCCACAGTATACCCTTTATCCAATGTCCTGTGTTGCATGCTCATTCGCGCCTAAAAACATTGAATGGTTTGGTGTTGCACATCTGCGCCCACATTTTATACCTGCAGATCATGGGAGTACCCATTTTGCAGGACATCTTACTTGCGCATTCGCCTTACACTGTACATTTTCCCTTGAGCCGCTCACAATTGATCACAACCATTTTGGAATTGGAGTATGGGTTCAGACATTGATTTGTGAGCCCTTGTCTCCTTCTGATAGACACAAACTCGCCCACCACGAAATGAAACAGTCACTTGTCACTGCCGCAGTAGTGGATGCCATCAAGCAGCAGAATAAATGGCCTGTTGTGATCACCAAAGAAACTGTGCGCGAATGCCAGATTGCATATTGCAAAGGTTAGCGTTGGACAGATCCTCCTGTGTGCACTGTTTGTGGACAGTATCAACGTGATTGCAAAGTCGTTGCACTCAACGACAGTGACACATCGGACCTGCATCTGGAATCCTTCCGCCTGACTGACTCATTCATCATTCATAAATGCATTGTCCAGGGATTATCTAACTGATTTACCTTTGGCAACCTGTTGTTGGATGGCCTGATGCTGGACAAAGCTGGTATAATATCCATTGAGGAGCATCGTGTCAGTTTAAACATCTGTGGGTCCCGTCATGCTCCCCTGTGCAAACCAGACAGGATTCCCCGTCTTGCTCTTCGCAATCACTTGTTCTGTGGTGATCTTCCGGATCAATTTCATGACTTGACTTGGATTGAAGAGAAAATATGTGCCATTTACTGCGTCACAGCTCACGTGATGTGACTATTCCAGTCCACAGATCCTGCGCAACCAAAGACATTCTACAGAAACACGTGTGCACATGACATGAATGTTGTCTCGACTGCATCGGTGTTACCATGCTCTCCTGCGGATGTTAATGGCCTTCTGAGTGTCATTTTCATAGGACCCAGGAAATTCAATCCCAATGCACTTGGCACTATTTTTCATGTCCATCGGAGCAAGATCTGGGCTTTTCTGGTATGATTGAGACATCATAACCATCTGTATTCATCCATTTCACTGGACGCTGAAATTGCAGCACTTTATCCCAAAAATGATATTTTGCCCGGCGTACTGGACGGCGTTATTGAGGACCACAAATCGGATGTTCAGAAAGTGTTCAAAGAAGAGACTGCAGGCTTCTCCAAACATCCTGCTGATATGTTATGTGAAACTGGTATGCTCACTGACATAGTTGGTGCGAGTTCCCCTGTTATCATGTTTGAGAAGATGGGCGTCTCTGATCCTGAAAGTGACAAAATCAGTGGGTGTGCATGTACTGCAGCTGCTATTCGCAACTTACATTCACGGAGTGGTGACCAACCAGACCTTGTCGTTCATTGTGGCCTCAATGCGATTGTGGAGTACAAAAACCCAGATCTTTTACCTGGCATGTTTCGCACCCTCTTTCCCTGTGGCATAGGTGGCTTTGAGGACATTGCAAGACAGACTGCCCTGTCTTTTGAACATCAAGCAGAATATTACCTCAACCTTCCTGATCGTGCCTTTAGGTACCATCATTTGTATTTGTTCATCGTCCTCAACATGCTTCAATGTCGTGCAGCACATCTTCATATGTTCTTCACTGTGCGAAAATTGAATTTTGACCCAGTGGCCTGCAAACTGACACAGGTATCTCCTGCTGTATTAGAGAACCTAGCACAGAAACTGGAATGCAAGCACCAGATTTCAGGACTGACGGGTGACAAAAAAGGTGCACTTGCTTTGCTCCAGCAAGTAAACACAATATCTGCCCGCATTCCAGGCTCTCATGCCTCGAATATTTATGTCTGCAATGAAATCCGAAGTTATTTCAGTTATTTCGGCTTGCCTCATCTATTTTTCACCTTCAATCCAAGCCCAGCTCACAGTCCAATCTTTCAGGTTATGTATGGTGACCACACTGTAGATCTCTCTCAATGTTTTCCTTTTATGGTCAATGGATGCAAATGTGCCCTTCACTTAGCTCATGATCCTGTCGCTGGCGCTGACTTTTTTGAATTTATGTGGCGGGCATGTTTTAGCCATCTCCTTGGGTGTGATTTCGATACTCAATCGTCTTCAGACAAAGGAGGCATATTTGGGCGCATACGAGCCTTCTACGGCTCCTCTGAATACACCGAATGAGGTTCTCTCCATGCTCACTACCTCATTTGGTTGGAAGGTGCATGTAATTTGTCCGAACTCCACCATAAACTTCTGGACAAAGATTATGAAAGACATTTCTTTGCATTCTTTGAGGACATTATCCATCATCATTTGCCAGATATCGAGGCCAACATAGATTCAAAATTTGAGCCCCATGTCAAACGACCCCCTCAACCCCCATCGCTTGGTACAGACAACCAGAAGGAATGGGAGTCCATGTTTCTGATGGAGATCAAACAGTGCGGTGAGGCTTTGCAATGCCATACATGTTGCGCAGTGTGTCACAAATATGAAAATGAGGATAGATGTCATTTTCTGTTCCCTCACAAGGTTGTCAAAAGTGCACGCTTTGACACCGCCTCGAACTCAGTCATATTTAAATGTTTAGATGGCACTGCCAACTACTTCAATCCAACCATTCTGGTTTTCGTCGCCATAACCATGACTTCAAGTATGTTTTGTCAGGCAAAAGCAGCCATGTTTTAAATCTCCAATTACATCACTAAAATGGATACCAAAATGTACGAAATGCTTTCCCTCCTGTCTCGCGCCGTTGCCTGCATTCCGATGAACCAACCCTCTGAAACTCCCTACACTGTAGCAAAATTGTTACTTCATAAGTGTCTGTCTCAGTTCACTGCCAACAGCAAATACATGCACAGCAAGCTGCACGTTATGTACGTGGCCTTGGAGATGGTATCCCTTCGCATGAGACTATGCCGATGTTGTCGTCCCTGTTGATGTCATATGTCAAAGATTTGATGCAAACAAGTGGAGGATGTGATGAGTCAATGTCTGATGCTGGCAAAGACAATTCTGAGGAGCCCCTCAAGAGCGAGGAATACAAGGATGTGCATCTCTGAGTGGCTACTGATCACACAGGACAGATTGTCGAATCCACCCAAATCCATCACTACATTTATTGTGCGCATACATTGGCTGATATGTGTTTCTATGACTTCTGTTGCTGTGTCCATCTGCAGTCTAAAGCCAAAAGTAAAGATGTCAAAAACATGCATGAGACTCATTTGGGTGTGTTACAGCGACATGCACTTATGGGTGACCATCCTCTCTGGCAAACCCACAAACTTTTGGAACATACCAATGAGGTCCATGGTGATGGATCACGCGAACTCATCCCATGCATTGTAGGCATGGCTATCCCTAGACGCACTCACCCCAACCAGTGGCAGCTGTTCATGTTAGCACATTTTAAGCCATTTAGTCATACCAGCCCACTGATTCCCAAAGACTCCTCCATCGAAGAGGTGTTTGAGACATACACATTTACCCCACGCTCTCATGCCATCATGCAGCATTGGGAAGCTGTCCATGAATGTGAAGACGAGCAAGACACAAACTGTTTACAAAGACAAGCACAGTTGACCACTCCGAAGAAAGGGATTGGCAACTTGCCTCTGCAGCTTGACAACAAGGATGAGGTTCTGCCTGGTCCAGCATTGGGTAGGACTGCTCAGGAGGAGTTCAAACATGCTCAGTTAGTTCTGTTGCTGAAACAGGCGTGATGGCTTACTGCTGGAGATGCACCTGCTGACTTAGCCAGATTTCCTTCACAGAGTGACCATGTGATGACAGATGCTCGTTTATGTGAGTCTTTGAATCCAAGCCATGATTTTGGTCCTTGCCAGCTCAAAAATTGGCTCGCTGAGATTTGCCAGCAAGAGACAGCAATCACTGAGACTTGACGAAATGCCCTCAATCCTGACCATCAACTCGAACACATGGCTGTAAAGGAGACCTCTGTCTGTGACACCCCTGCTTACTCATGTGATAGGACACCTGCAACAGAAACACCATCTACACCCACAGAGACATTCTCTCTGGCGGAGGTCATAAACATGATTGGAATTGAGTTCCAGTTGAATGATGCCCAGTGGGTAGCCTTCTGCATTATTGCTGACCATTTTGTGGGCGCCTTTGTTGAGAAACATGCGGAGCCATGTCATCAACTAACCATGCTCATGACCGAGCCTGGAGGAACTGGTAAAATGCATGTGGTTAAGGCTGTTCGAGCTGTCATGGAGTACTATGGATATGGGCATGTGATCCAATTTTTGGCTCTCACCAGCTCTGTGGCCTCCCTAATTGATGGTATGACCATTCACAAAGGTCTCGGCATCAAGATCAGGGCCAAGAGCAAGGGCAAAGGCAATCGTGCGCTAGGCAAGAGCATGGAGGATTATTCTGTGATTGTAAGCAATCAGAGTAAGACTCAGCTGCATGACAAGTGGAAAAACATGGCCTTCTTGTTGGTCGATGAGGCATCATTGCTGGGTTTGCAATTATTGGCACAACTTGATCATGCTCTCCGTGTAGTCAAAGAGCAGCCTGACCTGTGGTTTGGGGGTATCACTCTGATCCTGTCTGGCAACTTTTTCAGTACCCGCCTGTTGGAGGAAGCCCATTGTACATGCCCATTTTGCGGTATGCTGGACAGACAGACGACGAGGTACAAAAGCGATTGGGTCATCTCACTTGGAAGACCATAAACACCATTGTGACCCTCAGTGAGCAACAACACATGAAGACAAACTGTTAAGAATGTGCTCAAGGGTCGGATCCGAAGGGCTTGGCTTGAGCTCGTGCGCTGCGCCCCTTACCCAAGTATGTGCCCCTAACTTCCGAAGGCTAATGGACGATGTCCGAAGGTTGTCGGACGATGTCTGGAGTCTGATGTCCGATGCGCGGGAATTCCGGCGGACGTTCAGGAACAAGTGATAAGACTAATCCGGACAAAGTCCAAACTAGAACGGAAACAGTGGAGGACTACCAGAGGTAGAGGCGGAGGTGACAAGTCTATAGGAGTCAATCCTAAGACTAGCGGAGGACGACGAGAGGAGAACTCAAGTCAGACGGAGGAGGGAATGAGCAGAGTCTAAGATAATATTCAAACTAAGGAAGTACAAAGATTCTACAGGGTTTATATACTATGGAGGACTTAACGGAGAATCAGTCAGTGCAGTCCGAAGCTATGCGAGGCTGTGGATGGAGGGTATAGAAAAGTCAAACACTAGTCTATCGGAAAATAGTAAATGACGACGGAGATGAAGACATAGGAAAATAAAGCCAGAAATGAAACAAGGTATGGAAAATGAGGAAGTCTAACTCAAGAAGGAACATACAAAGGGATAAGAGGTCGGATCCGGATGTCTGGAGATGAATGTGTGATAGGTCCAGGTCCGGAACGCGGGATATGACACAGACCCTACTTATGGTCAAGCTGTCAGCTGTTTGAGGGTGAGACAATGCATGTTCGAAGATGTGGAATTGTTCAACTCTAGAGTTATAAGATTGCCACGGCATCCATCCGGTGTGGACATGGGCAAGTCAGGCAATATAACTGCTGCCGCTATCATGTCAACTAACAATCTCCGTGAAATGCTGAACACACAGAAAGCTGTGGTGGCCTGCAGGAGACAGGCATTGATATATGGACATGTGTTGGATAAATGCACTCACCGTTCATTGAGCCTTGCTGACAGACATCAATTGATAGCTGTCAACTTCAGCAATCTCAGAGGCACAAACTCCTTGCCTGGCACTGTGCCGCTGTATCTTGGGATGCCCATCATCTTACGCGTGCGAAACATATCAACAGATCTGGGTGTCACAAACAGCTCCCAAGGCATAGTACGATACATTGACACAGGGGAGTGTCCCGCCAGACTTTCTTGTGTGAGATGTGCATTGGTGGAGTTTCCTGATTCCAAGATGCAGTTATTGCACTTGCCCCCTAAATGGTTTCCCGTGGTACCTGTCACATGGACATTCACCACACTCCTCCTCGATGAGCACGGTGTTGAGCAGAAGCTTTGAATCACATGTCATCAGTTGCCTATACAGCCAGCATTCGCTGTCACTGGTCACTCCGCCCAAGGCAAGACACTTCCCAGCATCCTGGTGGACCTGCAGGAAGGAGGATTTGGCACGTATGTTGCCGCATAAAGGGCACAGACTCGCGAGGGTCTGTGTGTGACCCAAGCTGTCACTCTGGATCACCTCAACAAGTCGCTTTCTGCTGACCTTATTTGTGAGATGCACCGGTTTGAAGCCATTGAGCACAATACATATGTTTGTCGTGGTCTCTGTGCTGGCAAATTGATTCCTGTTCCCAATGCCAAGGCTGATAAGTTGATTCAGCCCACACCTCTCAAGGCACATTTTGCACCACAGCCATCTCGCACCTCCAAAAAACATACCAAATGTGATGGACCACTAGAAGCCTCGGGAGTACATGAAGATGATATACATCCTCGCAAGTTTGCAAGGAAGACTGCAAATGGCGCACACATCGTGAAGTTGCGTGAAGGCCCCACCACTTGAAGACAGTAGGAAGACACACAACTTATTCCCCACAGGGTGTTCATGGGATGCGGCCAACTGGTCTTGTGCATATGATTGTGTATTCATGATCATGTATGGCATCTATGCCACTGCGAATTGCGAGTGGCGGGAGCAATGGGTGAAGTTGTCACCTCTGACCACAGGACTGGCAAATGACTACAAAGAATTGATGATATCACATGATCCAGACTGCTCTCATTTCAACCAGCATTGAGATACTTTCCGTGATGCTGTGACCTGACTCTACCCAACCTTTCCTTGTTATGGTCAAGTAGGGTGTTCAGTGGGCACCGTGCTTGAACATTTACAGTGGCTCAAAAAAGTGTCTCAATGTTTGTAACTTTTCATGTAATTGCTTTATTATGAGCCAGGGTGTAGGAATATGACTAGGCTGTAGGGAGCTGTCAGAAAGCTATATTTCCCAGCCTCATTTATGTTCCCTATAGCGTGGGAAGCTGATGTCATCATGTGCAGATATGGCTATTTCAATTTGGTGACTCATTGAGATACTTTTTTGACTTTCAGTTTGATCAATACAATCTCTATAATTATAATACTTTGTGTGACCTCCTTTTGCTTAATCACTTCTACCACTCGTCTAGACATGCTATCTATTAATTTTGAACATTTCTTCTTAGCATTGCTTCCTCACTCTGCTGCAACTCTATCCTATAGCTGAAATAGCCCCTATGATGAATTTTGATAGGCTGCAAGCAATTTCTTGAGTATTTTCCAGAGACATTCAATAGGGCTGAGGTCCAGGGACTGTGCTAGACATGATAGAACATTTATATCATAGTCTTTGAGTTGTTGGTGACTAAATTGAAAGCTCACTCCATACACAGTCCCTGGACCTCAGCCCTATTGAATGTCTCTGGAAAATACTCAAGAAATTGCTTGCAGCCTATCAAAATTCATCATAGGGGCTATTTCAGCTATAGGATAGAGTTGCAGCAGAGTGAGGAAGCAATGCTAAGAAGAAATGTTCAAAATTAATAGATAGCATGTCTAGACGAGTGGTAGAAGTGATTAAGCAAAAGGAGGTCACACAAAGTATTATAATTATAGAGATTGTATTGATCAAACTGAAAGTCAAAAAAGTATCTCAATGAGTCACCAAATTGAAATAGCCATATCTGCACATGATGACATCAGCTTCCCACGCTATAGGGAACATAAATGAGGCTGGGAAATATAGCTTTCTGACAGCTCCCTACAGCCTAGTCATATTCCTACACCCTGGCTCATAATAAAGCAATTACATGAAAAGTTACAAACATTGAGACACTTTTTTGAGCCACTGTATGCTCGGGCATAGCATGTAGACCTGACATGTCAATGGTCTGTTTCAATGGATGTGATGTGTGGGACTCAAGGGTGGTCCGTTCTGCAGATGCCTTACCTACTACCTGTGGGCCATGGATCTGGTCCATTATCTTGTTGGCAGTCTCTTTGCCCCCTGATCCTTCTGGTGTGTCTGTGCAAATGTGGGTTGTGAGCTTTTTGCAATCAATCATCCACAGAAACAAGCAACTGTGGAGTACCATGTCATGCCCAAATTGTCACACTGCCTTGCTCAGCCCCATGATATATCTCAAAATGCCTCTGCCACTCTTAATTTTCGAGGACATACCTGGTACACTACCACAGTTGCTTGCCTCAGACACCTTCATGTTGCCTATGTCTGACCATGATGCAACCTATGACCTGTGAGGAATCATCTATCTACAGAACTTCCACTTCACTGCCCGCCTGTTTGATGCTTACCCAAGCCGTACACAGTGGTCCTATGATGGTCAGCACAACCAAGGGATACCTGCGAGAAACTCGCCATCTGTCAATTCAAGTCCTGGATGTGGATGTTTATATGTCTATGTCGTACAGACTTGCTGCTGAGGTTTCGACTCACAAGAGAATGCTGGTGTGATAGACCTCCATATGGCATCCGTCAGTAGCAGAGACTGTCTGAGCCGTGAGTGGCATGTCTATCTGGCCGATCAGTCAAGTTTGATGCTGACATCATCTGCCTTTTGTAGTTGCCAAGCTGACCCATGCTGATGCCCATATTCAGCCTTACTATTTACCTATATGTCTGACGCAAAGCATAGTATGTGCCTGTCTCAGAGCGATCGACTGTAATGGTGGTGTCCAGCTTTATGAATCCCAATGACCTCTCAACTCACGCAATCCCGGTCCATACCATCCCTGCGAGTTTGGGTATTTTCACAACAATGGCAAACATGTGCTCCACCAGACATCCCACACTGTCTGTGGCTACTGATGACAGCCTGTTGTCGCTGCAGCTTACTATGGTTCATTCCATCCATTGTAAGAGCCCTGTCATGGTGTGTTTCATGTACTCATACTCTTCTCAGTCACCCGGACTCACGATGACGCGATGAGCATCCTGAAGATGTTGATGATAACCGATCTCCACACCATCGGTGGCACTTGTCACACCCTCAGAAAACTGGCTTGTGAGGTTGTCAGGTGTCGCTTCTGTCGCCTCCTTGAACCTTTTGCAGGTCCACACCTCTCTCAATTTCTCGATGTCCTCAGGCAGTATGGCGGTGGGATCACCGGTTCATCGGCACATGCCATGGTGTTAGGAAGCGAGGGCTGTGTTCCTCATGACCTGAATATCCTCGTTCCGCACACCTCCTTCAAAGCTTTGGACATTTTCATTGTGCAAATGCTGCGCTATCTCCCTGTATCTGACAGCCCCATCCAGCTATTGTGCCCGTCATCGGCCATTTTCAGATCTATGCGTGTCATCAGCACATCATCACCTTGTCTTCCTCCCTCCAGCATCAGAGCGTACTGCACATCATTTTAAATGCTCCTACAACCGCAGACATGGTCTTCATGACAACTGGAGGTGTGTGTTGATTCTATCCAGTGTGGCTTCAACAAGCCATCACCATAGAGACATGCACAGCTGGTTTGGTAATGTTCGACCAGAAACTTGGTTGTGCAGATGACTTGAGCGATAACTTGTGGGTGGAGCAAGGCCTTCATTTCTCGGGCCAGACCTGTAGGCAGTTGTGTCCCATGTTTTGGCATCATGTTGAAGACACGGCTCTGCGTCAATTCATGGATTGAAATATCGAGGACTCCGTAACCCATGTATTCCACTGAGTTGACCTGGAATGGTGATTGTCACCAGAATGCATGAACAGGCATTGTCCTTACTGTGCACCAGTGATGGCTCACAATGTTATGGGGTGTGGCGCTGTCAATCGTATGTTGCATCTTTGCTACCAGGCTACACAATTTTAATCACATGTCACACTAGGGCATGATGTAAGATTCATCCCTGCTGAAATCAGATGTCGTCAGCCGGTATGCATGTCCCTGTAATCTTGTCAGAATCTTCAGCACTCACAAAGCCTCCCAAGTGTTTCTTGCAACTGATCAAGGGTATCTTCTATGGTGTCGCCTGCTATCGGCCATTCCTGGTCCCTGTTCCTGTGCAGACATTGGAGCCCCCAAATACCATCATGGACATGACAAAAAATGATCAACTCATCGTGAACTTCCTGTTATTGAGACCAGTTCCAATCTCACAGCACCATGCTTTTGCCCTGACACCTCTCACAGTGCATTGCATTTTCAGGCTTTCGGGCCATCTTGCACAGGCAGATAGAGAAGCGACTGTAATTGATGGTGGTAGTCACACACTTCACAAGCATGTCAAATTGGTGGCAGTCTTAATAATTGCATCTGAATAATAAACCATTTTTTCGTGTCCATCTGTGCAAGCCCTGGGTTTGTCTAGCCTGGTTGAGACATCATGGCAGTTTGTATTCATGCACATCATTGTGTGTTGAATGCCCGTGTATACACAATTGAGGTCTGACAATGGGAAGAGCTCCATCCTTCACACTTCAGGCCAAAGCCAGCTGCATCAAGAGCGACATTTTATAACACATAGGTCACAAACCACATACACATCATAATTTACAAGTCTGACAGAATAAATCGAATCAAGAGAAAATGAACCACAAGCCAGGGATACTATACAAGTCAGAGAGAACAGTTTGAATACAGAGAAAATTAACCAGCAGGTAAGGTGTTGGTTCTGGGCCACTTTGGGCCTCGTTTGCATGGAAAAGACATGTTAGTCATCACCGACTTCCATTTCCTCAAGCTCTTCGATGTCAAGGTCACCATCCTCAGACGTCCTCTTCCTTGCCTGCGACCCATCACCGTCATCAGTGGCCTTGCATTTTCCTTTCTTGTTTGATGTGGAATCATTCACTGTGCTCGCAGTGATGGATGTGTCAGGGAGTAGCTTCATTGACTTCAGCATCACCTGGTACCACTTGGAGCCATTCCTGTCGTCCTGTGGAGCATTGTCTCTTCTATTAGGGGCAATGTTCCACCTGCATGCAGACATGTCAGTTTGTGCCCCGTACTTACAACTTCAGCTGGCATTCAAACATCGTAACATCGCCACTAGTGAGGTTGCTGGCATATTTGCTGGGCTTGATCAACATGCCATCTCAGTCCCGTACATTGGGGGGGACCACCACAGCATTTTGCAAGTTGTGTTGCATGATCAGGCCGGCATACTGCCCAAGGGGGTCAGGCAGAGCTGACAGAAGGTCATCCCCTGTAAATTCATGCATTCACATTGATTTTGTGATGGTGTATGTGAAGATGTACTGTTAGCTGCAGTGGATGAGCCTTCTCCTCCTCCTCCAGGAGGGCCACCTGCCATCACAGCAGCTTTGGCCTTGGCTGCACCATGCGAGTATAAGTGATCGGAATTGATGCAGATGGAAGAATAGAACTCACATGGACTCTGCATGGTGTCTCTTTCTGTGCACATGTACAGTTACCCGTCAGTCAAGGCATGCAAAGATATCAAGTGGGCTACATACTGCCAATATAACCCCGTTTGAGATGCAGCACTGAAGATCGTGAGGGGTCTGGAATGTTTTGCACCAAAGGGTCAGTTATCAGTATGACAGAGAACTGTTCATTCTGTGCTTCAGTGTATCGACACCAGAATGGCACATTGTGCAGATACATAGCAGGGTTGGGCAACACTATTGAGATGTGAGAAGTCTGATCAAGGTTAGATGTCAAGGCAGAGACTCACGGGTGTTTCTGGTGTTCTCCACTTCCCCATGCAAGACATTTAACATGTCCATGGTCGCAGAGCTGCACCTTATGGCCTCCTGTGGATACAGGTTGGTCGCATTGACATCGAGCGGGCAAACCTCAAACTGGGCGCACATTTTCTTCAATGCAAACAGATCGAGCTGGGCAGGGCACACAATCATCAATATCATATACAAGCATGATCAACATGGGACTTACACCAGTATCCAGTGTCACAGGAAATTTGAACGTGAACAGCTCTCCAGAGTCATTGACTCAGTATTCCACATTGTCACCCATCATTCTCAAAGGACGAGGGTTGTTGGCGATGGGGACACTGGACAGTGTGTCCACATTGACAGCAGATTGAGCCTTTGTGAGGACATACAATGACCTCCACAAAGGAGATTTCTTATTCTCGGCCTTGGCATCTTGAGAGATGAGAGAGTCGTCGGATACGTGAGATGATTGCAAGTCTGTGTCGCTAGCAGGTGAAGACATGTTTGAGGGTAGATGGATTGGAGAGGCTGGTCGAAGCAGTGTTTGACTGGAAGTGTTGAGAATTACAAGTCAGGGCGATCTGGTTTTGTCCAAGCGGGTGTCTATATGTATGTTTCTTCCTCACTTCCATGACACCAAAGAGATTCAGCCTCCTGGTGAGGTGGTCATTATGTCACCCAATCTCCCTTATCTTTCTGTGTCACATCCAGACCAGTTTTTTTGGACAGCTGGAGTGATCACCATGTCTCGGACTTTCTCCTGATCCAGGCCTGTGTGTCAGTCGCACGGGATACCATGTCTTGGCTGAACCGGGAACTAGTACCTGCGATGGGCCTTTGGGACCAAGCCGTGCTGAGCAGGTCGGCGGCATGTAGTACTATTCCAAGCAAATTGACAATTAGATTGGCAATGCCTGTTGATTATGTCATCAATCAATGTGTCCCATGAATAACACACGAGCACTTGGCTCATGCAGCCTGGATGTCAGAACGCAGCTCTGCTTGAGGCTTATACTCTGCATTGAGACCTGTATCTGTCACTCAGTCATGCTTGCTAGCATAATGCATACTTGCTTCACCCCCATTCCTATGGTAAATCATCCTTGATTTGCCTTGGAGTCTCTGAAACACAGTGAGTCAAGCTGGCCAACTCCCTGCGGCTGATAGCCCCCAAAAAATTCACAACCCCAAGCCATGGATCGATCAAATCCACTTCTTCCATGTCACACCTGCGACCACTGCCGATCCGCCCGAATTCAAGACAGGGGATGTCTGGGTCATGTATTTGTAGCTCAGGGGCCTCCTTGTCCCTCGGGTGACAACAGCATGCGGTCTTAGCATGCATTGGGGGTCATATGTTGAGCTGATCAACAACAACATATAGCTCACAATGCAAGACATGATTCCTGCTAAGATCGCAATGGATAATAGTATGTGGCAGGATATGGGCGCCTTCATCTTCGGTATGGGTTTCCCTAGTCAGTGTGAGATGCGAGCTCAACAGAGACATAGCTGAGCACCAACAGAGGGGTCTGCTGCTGTTACATGTTCTTCTGTCTGGAGACTTGAAATCTTCTGACACTCCAATTGAGAGACATGGAGCAGCAGGTGATGGTCTGATAGTTGTGAAGCATGCACACTGCCACTTTGCTATAGTTCCAGGTATGTTTGCCCACACAATGCATATGTGTGGCTCTGATCTCATATAGATAAAACGATGTCCCTTGCCCGCCATTAATTTGCATGCACAGTCTGTGAAAGCATCAGGTTGGCAGTGTATGGCTACTGCTGCTGCAAGAATGTGGGCTACTGTATAAAGTACTTGGAGTCACTATGTGATGTTTCTAATGTGTTTGTTTTCTATTGAGCCATTCGAGTTTCGGCTGTTCTGTGGATGAACTTCAGGTCAGAACACAGTATGTTTAAATCACATAAGTTTTCTGTGAATGGATGTGGTTCCGGATTTGCATTGAAGGATGTTTTCCATAACTACCTCTAACATGAATCAACATGTTGGTGAACATCTGCCTGTCCATTGTTCGATGGCCAGGTAAGACACTTTTTTCTGCACAGAACAATGCTCATCTATTTCACCGCTAACAGTGCTAGAGTCACACAGAATCTTGCAGGGCTTGTATCAGAACCTATCACAGCTTGAAGATATCCTCAATCTTAGATCCACAAGTTGCCTTGCCAGAGAAGTTGGAACAGCTGTGGTCAGATGTCGTTTTGAGCACATCTTGGAGCCATTGTTGGTTCCGACTTTTTGGTATTGCATCATGTCATGCACATTGCCCTTGCAGTGATAACTGGTTCATGTGTCAGGCAGATGATGTGTGGGGAGAACAAGCCCACAGATAACCTCAACTTCCTCGTAGTACAAGGAGGGTCTGAGAGACTCCACGCCTTCATTGTGACCATGCTTCAGTACCACCGCATTCAGCATGCCCGAGCAGGGAATTATGCATTTGATTGAGCCAAGGAATGCTTTGCCATATTTCAGCGAGGCAAAAGTACATCACCGTGACTCATGCCACCTCAGATGAACTGTTCAAATTGGTGGTATCAGCACACACCACTGCAGACATGCTCGTGATGACAGCCGGAGGGCTTGCGGTGTTTTATCCCACTTGGACGAAGAGAGGGGTGACAGTCAGGAATCACAGCCTCATTTTGTTGGCAACCAGTCTAAGAATGGGCTATATGAAGCACTCTTGAGTGGCAGCTCAAACTCAACACAGCTTTCCTCAATCAGCTGTGTGAGTCTGCATGCCCCACCTTGTGGCATAAGGTAGCCAATTGCGGCAAGCATTCCCTCATGCTAGAGTGGGACAGTGCTTTTTCAATGAAGGCTTTGCTTCAGCATTCCAATACGATATGGCAACTGGCTCTACAGTGTCACAATGCAGCATGTATGCACAGCCATGGCATGGGAAACAATCAAACCAGGATGACACTGCCTCCAATGGGGTATTCTGTGGTGGTTGAGCCGATGCATGTGCAATTCTGATAGGTTGAGAAACAGGCTCGGGAGATGGCAGTCTGTACTATGGGACATGTTGATTATACTGCTGATCCTCAGAGTTTGTGGGTGGTGCTGGGTATGATGGCTGTATTCGACTAAACTGTGTCTCGGTCTTGGTAGATTGTTTTCTGTGGTGTGAGGGTCCACAATTTCGTACATTTGGAAGAAATATGCAATTGATTGGGCTGGACCGATCATAGAGCGTGTCTCACTAATCTGGCAGTACCGTCGATCATTGGCGAGCGCTGGGCCTGGGGCCCAACATTATTGTGATATGCTAATACCAGTGCTACCAGGCCATCATACTAGTGTCAATTCTGGACATCCTCACTGCACTCACAACAGCATATCATGCCTGCCTCGCATACTAACAACTGTGTGAGCTCCTCACTTTCCGTGCAAACTGTGACCACAGCAGGGTCATGTGCTATAGAGTGTATGACAGCTGTACATATAAGCACAGGTGACAAGCGACATGATGACGGACATACTTGTAAATATGGTGGGATGCATGCATACATGCTCGTTGACCACCAACACACTGATAGCGGGCTCATGAGCTGCAGACTGCAATGGCGAGTTGCAGATATTGATGCAAGGCACAATGTGAAACTATGGCGGAGCCTGCACTTGCCTCTCTACTGCTAAAACGTCAGATGTGATGTGTGTGATGGACTGACTGTTATACGTTACCTACCAAATATGATTGTGCCTGCGCCATTGAAGAGCTTGATGACTTCTAGCAGGGATACAGACATTGTGATCGAGATGATGGGTCATATGCAAATTGGGAGACGGGGGTGGCCTGGACAGATACTTTAAGAACCAGGGGGAGGCTTCTCAGTGACAAACACCGCAGTCTTGTCTTGCATTTGATTTATACAAACATGATACTGATCACACAAGAAACAGTGTTCTGTATAATGAATCTGATCATTGTCAGATGCCTTGCCGAAAATCATATGTTTTTATGAGTCGCATCAATCGAGAGATACAGTAAGCTAGATGAAAATTAATTTGTACCCACACTGATGCTCCAAGGGCCTCCGGTGAGAGGCCAGGTGAACATCTGTTGCTGGACCTATGTCACAGCTTCATATTTGAGCAGCGTGGTGAGGAATTATGCAGTTGTGAATCTCGCACACTTCTATGGCCTGCTGTGGATGGGTGCCATGAGGATCTGATGGGGTCGGTCAAAGGTAACTTACCTGCCATGTAGCCAAATTCCCATATGATCTGCCATTGGTTATGTTGTGATCCAGTATCGTGTTCAGATGAGGAACCCGCTGCATCTGTCAAGAGTTAATGCCAATTGACTGAACAGGCCAGATCACTAACATACAATAGGTTCTCCTTTGACAGACATATCCACTGTGCACAGACTGTCTCAGATCAAGAATGACATATAATATAGATTTTCCACTGATTGGGTGAAGCTGGTGGGATTGACAATGAATTGGAAGAGATTGATGGCACCTGTGGTTCTCAAAATGTCGTGCATTTCCTTAAAAAAAAAATCTGAATCAGTTTGCATTGCACGTCGCACGCTTGAACTCACCTCGATGACAGACAGGTCGCGCTCTTCTGACTTATTGTTTAACAATGCTGATCTGGTCATGGATGGGGTAAGGGATTCGTGTGCAAGAGGGTGTTGACCCAACACTGCATTACTGATGGAGGGTGGTCCTTCCCTGCATCCCGGTTTGAGTAGCAACAGTCTGAGAGACAAATGGTCCATGCACTTGATAGTTGGAATGGACTCTCTGTGACTTTCAGAATGGAGCTCATCAGATGTGCACCTGTGGCTAGTTCGACACATTTGCCATGGACATGAGTGGCATACAAGCCAGCGTCATATCTTGCAGGACTAGACCTTGATGGCACACACCTGCAACTTCATGAGGGATGTTGGCTGACAGGTGAGAGTTACATACATCATGGTCGGGGTTGGCACTCTTCGACTCCTGGCTAACACTCTGCGTCCCACATACTCCCACCCACAACGATTGGCAAGCGCGCTGCTGCTAGGCCCTGGGTTGACATGCATGGCCAACTTTTCGATGAAGGCATCAACAGCGAATGATGTGTTCTCTTCAGCCATCTGTGCAGTTTTGAGTGAACTACAACTATGTGGTGAGTGGAGAGCATACAGTGTGACCCATCTGACTTGTGACACAATCGATCAAATGGATTTGATCTGGGAGTTGCCAACCAGAACCTATGGGCGCAAGACATTGGATGCAAGCCGCCTCTGATTTCGTGCCTTCATCAATCATTAAAGTGGCACATAGGAGTGGTGATACATACTGTGGCACTCGGCTCCTATGGGCACAAGCTGGAAAGACATATGCTTGCTCGTCTGCGAACTGATTCATTGGGTAATGAGGTAGGACAGGAGTTCCATCATACTTCTGGCCATGGTAGGTGGACTGTCTGATAACCCATGTTTCGGGGTAGTACTGGTTTGGCAGGGAAACATTGAACATTGAACACTCACAGGCAGCAGAGTACGTGATGTCAACGGTCAACGAAGTTGGGAACTGGTGTGTCCACGGCCTTACGATGTAATATGTATGTCAGGATATGTCACAAAGTATGTTCCAGAACATGTAAAATTATGTGAGAAAATTATAGGAGGTGTGAGAAATTGCTGACTAAGTAAAGAATTGTGCATTTGAAACCAATCTTCCAGAAGGATAAGTATTATTTTAAATGTTAAGTATAGTAGTGCACTCATTTTGAGTCTGAAATTACTCAAGTAAAATATGGGTGCTACACAGAAAATTCTAGATAGCATCATAGGCTATTATGAAGGGTATTACAAGCTAGGTATTTGCTATGTTCGTGTACAAAACAAGTTTTGTGTATGTCAGCGCAGTGTTGAAGTGCCTCCATGAAATGTGTGTTTCTGTGCTGGTTCACCAGTGTCTCTTATTTGAAAGTCTGTAATAGAATTATTAAGGACAAGGCAGGTGACTTACTTGCACAGGGTACAGACCTACCCATAAGGTATATGAGTGAATATAGTCCTAACATCAGCCATATGTTCACTTTTTGAAACCTAAATACAGGTGTTAGTCAAGGAAGACAATAAACATGAGGTCCATATAGTCAAAATGGTGCCAGTGCCCTTGTTCTCGGACTTAGCTTCATCAGCCTCATCATCGTCCTCATCCTCAAGTTAGGGGATCAGCTCATCAGCAGATGGGTATATAAGGGATATCTTCATCTTTCAAGTCAAGAGGAGATAAGATTTGCATAGCAACTTTCTTAGGTGCTGAATAGTCCATAGTGGTTGACAAAGCACACCTCCTGGTACCCGAAGATGAAGACATCCTATAGATATTGTCAGCATCATGTATATGAGCTAAGAGTTTTGAGGGCCAGCCAGAGCACTGAGAACCAGCTGTGACTGTTGCTAGGGTGTGTCCAGCCTTGAGCAAAATGGAGAAGGCATCTCTTGTGAGTGCAGTTGAAGATGATGGCTGGGTGGAAGAGGGAACCTATGGCAATGGTACATTATTATCAGGATCATTATAGAATGTGATTTTGGCAGCATCCTTGAGGGAGCTGTCAGCATTGAGAGTACAGGAGTCTTCACACATTATCAGAGAAATAACTCATGATTTGGTTGGTGACACCTCATTTTGTACATAGAGCAGGGAGCAAATACCTGTGCATCTCAGAACAATGACATCCAATGAGATTAGTTAGAGTTGACAGCTAGTGGAGAATCACAACTACCCAGGAAGTGTACAGATACATCATACCTCTATACCTCTGCAGCTAGCCTGCATCATTCATCCTGTGTCCCATCTGCCCTGAGCACATTCTGTCTAATTCCCAGATCCAACCTATGCTTCATATCCAAACCCACACCTCAAATCAGTACCCATTCCCTTATGATAATTCCCTGGCTCTGGTCTTTGGTTATCTCTGTGACTGTTTTGCTTATTGATACTTGTATGAGTTTCATCTCTGAGTTCATTTCCCTATGATCTGTCTTAGTCAATATTCACCTCAGGCCTAAGGAGGAATCCTTAGGCTGGAGCTCCACTTCTCCAATCCTAAACTCCTCCAAGTTTCTGGACATTCTTCCAGAACTTTCCTGTGGTCCTCCAGACCTACTCTGCTTCAGACTTTGTCCCTACAGCCTTTCCTCTATTTTCATTCTACTCGGAATTCATCCTGAGTAGCCCTTACACATATCCTTGTCAAGTGGACAAAACCCTATTGTAATTTCCAGAAGTTCCTCTGGAACTTTCCCACACTCCTGTTAAGAACATGCTCAAGGGTTGGATCTAAAGGGCTTGGCTTCAGCTCATGTGCTGCGCCCCTTACCCGAGTACGTGCCCCTAACTTCCGAAGGCTAATGGACAATGTCTGGAGTCCAATGTCCAATGCGCAGGAATTCCGGCGGACGTTCGGAAACAAGTGATAAGACTAATCCGGACAATGTCCGAACTAGAAAGGAAACAGCGGAGGACTACCAAAGGTAGAGGCGGAGGTGTTAAGTCTATAGGAGTCAATCCCAAGACTATCGGAGGACGATGAGAGGAGAACTCAAGTCGGACGGAGGAGGGAATGAGCAGAGTCTAAGATAATATTCGAACTGAGGAAGTACAAAGATTCTACAGAGTTTATATACTACAGAGGACTTAACGGAGAGTCAGTCAGCGCAGTCCGAAGCTATGCAAGGCTGTGGACGGAGGATGTAGAAAAGTCAAACACTAGTCTATTGGAAAATAGTAAATGAAGACGGAGATGAAGACATAGGAAAATAAAGCCAGAAATGAAACAAGGTATGAAAAATGAGGAAGTCTAACTCAAGAAGGAACATACAAAGGGATAAGGCACGGAAGATAGATGCGGGTCGGATCCGGATGTCCGGAGATGAATGCATGATAGGTCCAGGTCCGGAACGCAGGACATGACAACTCCTCTGCAAGTTTCTTGCACTCAGCTGGAAGATTCTTCTGAAGTTTACCACACTGATCTGGAAGTCCTTCAGACTTTCTCTGGACATCATTCTGAAATTAAGGGCACGTACTTAGGTAAGGGGTGCAGTGCACAAGCTGGAGCCAAACCCCTCAGAATCAGTCTTGTGTGTGGTCTTAACACAATTTGACTAAATTGACTTAGTGAAATTTTCACATTTTTGTCATGTGACATTGAGATATATTGGTATTATTCTTAAAATATACAAATGGTCTTGTGGCTTAGTGGTAATAATGTTACAGTTATAATTGCTAGATATCCGTGGTTCAATCCTTACTAATCACAATTATCCTATATAAAAACAATTATGTGATATGATGTATAATATAATATGGTGACATATCTTTTGGTATTTGTGCTTTGAAATCCACAAGCTTTGCAATGTAGAGGCTTTCTTTAATAAACTTGGTCACAGTAGACTTGTATACATCAGTTCTAGAGGAATTTAATAAGCAGAGGCTAACATAGGATAGAAAGAGAATATTATTCCTTTGAGCAGAGAAGATAGCTCTCATTGTGTTTATGACTATGTCACATGAGATATTCTAGGTAGTTGGATATAGTTTCAAAATGACTCCACTTTATAATTCATATAATGGTGGTATGATTTTTGTGGTGTCATAAATAATGATTTATATACTTTTAATATACACTTAAAAAACTGTCTACATGAGTCATTGTTATGTAAGCATCATATCTCCACCATATGTCCACTAATTCTTATAGTATAGTGCTCAAATGGAAGCCCTAAAGCAGCACTACAATATAGTACTAGTATATTCTTGAAGTGTTTATGTAATCTCACACAACATCATATGAAAAATATGAAAACATGCACATATTTTTTAAACTACTATAGAGTTATAGAGTATTTCTACAGAATCCAAATGTCTCAGCAAGTTCTGTCAGCTTAATTTGTCGTAAATTTGAAAACCACTTTAGTAAGGAATTCAATGTTTATATTTTTTTGGACAGCCTACACAACTCATGCCTAGCAAAGTGACTGATTCCAGAAACACCATGTCTTTGTCTATACTTGGTTGCACAATTAATAACTATTGAAATCAAATAAGATAATAGCATAAAATACCTGTTCTGAGTATTGTATTGAAATAAAGACAATTGCACTAAGAGTTCTCCTAGGATATTTACTACATGAGATAGCCAATCACATATCTTATTCCCTTGTGATATGTAGAACACAAAAAATCCAATACAACCAAATAATGCATAAATAACAATATTCTATTAACATTCAAACTTCCTACTAATATTACTGTGTTTGAAACTGATGTGCCTACTTAACACCCAATCTATTATTTTTAAGCTTTAAGCCATATTTTTAGGTCAGTTTTTATTTATTTACTAAATCATTTCTTGTTTGAAAGTTATTGTGTTAAAAGGTCAAGAATGTGCTATACAAACTCTGCAAATTGATATTATTGACATCTTCCAATGATTTTCATGATATGGTCACTGCACTACATATTTTCTATATGTTTCTGCTTCTATCCAGCTTAGCTGATTAACTTGGTTATTAAATACAATGTTTGTTTTATTTTTTTTATTTTTTTTTCCAGCAACTGGCAGACATACCCATGACTGAAATCACATACACACTAGGAGCTAATAGGACATGAGGTATTTTTTGACCTTGTTTATGTTCAAGTGGTACTTAACAATCATTATTGGATTGTAGCTGCAAATGAGCCAAAAATTCTGATGTACTCAAATGACTGTCAATATCTGACAGGTTGTAGTGAGTATTGACATGTTATTTGGTAGAATAGAATGAGCTGGTTCCTTGTTAATGACTAGAATTTACAACCATATAGTGATGCTATCAAGCACTTCAAGGAACTGAAGTTTGCATAGATTAGTAAGGGCTGCAAAAAGCTAATGTTTAAAATTCTAAATCAAAGAGCTGTATTTCATTACACTGAACATTTTATTTCTGAGACTTATCATTCTCTAGTCCAAAGTTGATTTTTGAGTCATGAATTTGATAGAATTACTATATTATATCAAGATCATCTGGATCATGACCAGTATTTTATTCCCTAAATCTAGCATTGACAGCTACTGCTGGACCTGGGGCTATATTATAATAATGAAAACCTGCATTGAATGCATATGGGAAGTGTGAAAATTAAACACAAAAGCTTTATTCAAAAAAAATAGTATGCAGGGTGTGCAAAAGTCTGCAAGGTGCAAATAATAGATGTACAAATATAATATCATACATTAGTTTTCAGTGACTTAGGATATTTGAGTATGTCTGATATTCACCTTATTCTTCTTGTTTTCTTTGAGTCACTAATGGCATGTCTGGCAGCACATACAGAAGTGATTTATACATACACATTTTGTCCCAACCACTTTTTCATTAATATATTTTGTGATAATGAAATAAGTATTGAAGAAATAAACTCCATGATTAGGAGGTACAGTTCTACCTTTACAAGTAACAATAAAAATGGATACAAAG